GCACCAATAGCCTACTTATGTACACAGGCGCATAGGAAGCTGCCTTATGCTGAGTCAGACCTCCCAGTCCAGCGAGCTCAGGATTGCCGGCACTGCTTAGCAGCAAATCTCCAGTCTTTCCTCGGGTCCCACCTGGAGATGCCATTGGGGAATGAATCTTCTGCATGCAAATCAGATGCTGTACTCCACATGGTTCTGATGAAAGGGTTGCTTTAAACAGGAATGTAGGAAGCCGGCTTATGTGGAGACGGACCAAGAATCTAATCCTCATGTTTCTTAAAGAAAGAAAGAAATGGAACCTTCTTATACTAAGACCACTGCTGCATCTAGCTCAGTATTGTCAACAGTGACTAGTAGAAGCTCTCCAGGGTTTCAGCCCTACCTGGAAATGCCAGTGGGGATTGAATCTGAGACCTGCATACACACACACACACACACCGTATTTTTTGCTCTATAAGACTCACTTTTTCCCTCCTAAAAAGTAAGCGGGAAATGTGTGTGCGTCTTATGGAGCGAATGCAGGCTGCGCAGCTATCCCAGAAGCCAGAACAGCAAGAGGGATTGCTGTTTTCACTGCGCAGCGATCCCTCTTGCTGTTCTGGCTTCTGAGATTCAGAGTATTTTTTTTTTCTTGTTTTCCTCCTCCAGAAACTAGGTGCGTCTTGTGGTCTGGTGCGTCTTATAGAGCGAAAAATACGGTATATGCAGGCGCCCCTCTCACCTTTTTGGATTTCACCAGGCTTTATATTTCATTTATTCATTCAACTTCTTAGCTGCCTTTTTTACCATCAGATCCCAGGGCGGGTTGCAGAAACACAGTTCTAAAACCACCACGAAACAAGAAAATCATGTAAACTTTTTTTTAAAAGTTTCATATTTAAAAACAATTCCATCTATATAAAACCAGCACAAACAAACATTTAGAAACAAAAGTTTAGAAACGTGTGCAAAGAAGTTAAAAGTAGTTCCCATGAGAGATGCAGGCTGGGATAAAGATTACTACTTAAACGGCTACTTGAAAGAGGAAGGTCTTTGAACTGCGCTGAAAAGAAGACAGGGAGAGCTTACAAGCTTTCTAAGCACATCATGAGGGCTAGAAACTTGGTGAAAGTGCAGAAAAGAGAGCCTGTGGTGTGAAGGGCGGGACGAGTCCTCCAACCAGTGCAACATCCTGTTTTTGTGGATTTGCAGCCGTTCATATACATGCCTCCTGTGCAAACTTTCCTTTTGAGCAATAAGCAATCTGTGCCAGTGTTCACCTGGGGCTTATCTCTGAAGCTGATACGTGGCGTGCTCAGATTTGCATAGCCGATGCAAAGGTGTGCGTTCTGCTTCACCTGTCTCCAGGCGAGCTACGAGGCTGGGTTGTATTTCTGCAACTCTGCCCCATAATAATCTGCTTTGGGTCTTCTTCCTTGTCCCTCCCGTTTTGGGTTCCTGTTTTTGTATTGAAGACAATTGCTGCTTTTCTGTTCATTCTGTTTGCCTTCATTTGACCTTCTCGGGTCTTCTCACCCTCCCGCCTCTGGTTATGCACGAATAATCTGTTTTTCCACATTCTTAAGAGCAAAACTTAGCCTCTCCAATAGGGCCTTCTTTGGAGACTGTGTGCTGGTTAGCCTTTTGAACGTTTTCTGATAAGAAACCACCCAGTTCTGAAGTTGGCAAGGAGATCTGGAAGGGATAAATTGTGTGTGTGTTGCATTGTGTTGCATTGCAGAGCAGCAGCAAAAGGAGGCCTCTGCCCCAAGGAACTCCCAGTCTAACTTTTGGCTGCACAGAAGGTGAGAGGGGGAGGAAGGAGAGAGGTCTGGAGCAAATGTGAACAAAAACTTGGGGCAGCGGGGCTGGAGATGAGATGCTGAGCTTTGCAGAAGATGCAGATTTTGCAGAAGAGAAGCATCAAATTAGGGTAGGGAGCCAACAGGTAGACCAGCTGCAGTGCATGTCACCTGGGAACCTCTGGTCTGGGGATCCACCTCTTACCAGCATTGCAAAATTGTTACCTGTTTAAAGCTGTCTTCCTGGGGGCTGATGGGAGCTGTAGTCCCAAACATCCAGAATGGGGCAGATTGAGAAAGGCCAGTTTAGAAGCTGATGTGGATGTGGATCAACCCTGAAAAGAAATCCCACTTGGTTTGGCCCTCTCTTCTCTGCCTCTTTATAAGTCAAGCTGAGCAAGATTCTTCGCTTGAACTCAAGAGCTCCTCACCTGGAGATGGGGTTCAGGTGTGCCGGATTGTGGGCTTCGTGCCCAGAGCTTTTGAGAAGCCGTGGCTCGATAACATCCGGGGTGGGGTGGGGCAGTGTTTATTCCGTGACGTGGGAAGCAGAATGGTTAGATAAGGTCATAAATGTTGATGATTCAGCCACAATAATGAAAGGTGATTCATGGCCCGTGGCACCGTTGTTAGCCGGCCTCTGCTTTTGACATGTTACTGGTCCTGTGTTTTTTCTTACAAGTTGCTTAAAGGGTGCATAAGAAGATCAGAAGTGAGCCTGACTCCTGGATCAGGCCAGAGGGGGAACATCTAGTCCAGTTCCCTGTGGCTGACCAGAAGCTAGATTTGGCCACCCCCACCCCTAGTTTAGAAAGATGCAAAGAGTCAGTAGCCGTTGGGACTCACTTCCACAAGATGTGGCGGTGATCATTAGCTTCGAAAGGTTGATTAGGGAAAGGGTCTATCAGTGGCTACTAAATGGCACTGCCATGCCATTGCTAGTAACACATTTCTGTCTCAGTCCCTATAATTCCTATTAATAAAAAAATTCACCTCACGTACTTTTGAAGCTGTGTGTTTCCTGTTCCTGAACTTCCTAAGGGTCCTAAAAGTATTTCTTCTGGAGCTGCTCCGCTGCACTTTTCCATCAGATGATTTTCTGGGCAGCTCACAACAGATTGCAGTAATGCAAAAACAAAAGAAAGAGCCTTTCCTTCCAGGCATTTGTCCAGGAAGCGTTTGCAAAGTTGGCCTGCTCTTTATCTAATTCCCCTCCTCTCAGAATAAAAATAAATAAATTTTATAGGTCTCTTTTAGCAGCAGGCTGGGCGCTTTAATTAAACTTCCCTTTCTTTAAATAAACCCCACTGAAGATGCCAAATAGACTTGCCCGGTTCATTAAACATGAGAAGGAAAAGGGGGGGGGGAGGCAGGAGGAGAGGTTCCTGGTCTCTCTCTTGGGAGCATTTAAATGTTGGCCGAGTTGAGTTTTCTCTCTCTCTCTCTCTTTTTAAAGCATGGGAGTCCTTTTGGCAGCGCCGGGGTGAGTCTGGATCGCTTAGCACCGTGGTTTCTGATTGACCCCTTTTTTAAATAAAAAAAACACAACACAAAGCAAAACAGCAACAACTTTGTGTGTGCGAGAGAGAGAGAGAGAGAGAGAGAGAGAGCGTGGGCCCCGGCTTCTGCGGAAGAGTGAGACTTCTAACCACAGACAGGGCAGCTGTGATGGATTTCGCAACGGATTGCAGATGTCTTTTCAAATAAAAATAGGGCATTTGAGAAACCAGCCACCTTAAATGTCTGGGTGGCTTTTGTTTTGCTAAGAGTGTGTGTGTGTGTGTGTGTGTGTGTGTGTGTGTGTGTGTGTTAAAGAACTATTTCCGAAAGGCAGGCTGCTGCTGCTGCTTCAGAACATTTGCAGAGCTGCCTGGGCATCAACATCCCCATCAGACTGGCACGTGGCCTCTGAATGGCATTTACTGAGGACCCTCGGTGGCAAGAGTTACCGCTGCTGGCCTGCTTCCCATTTGAGCACTGCAAGAGCAGGATTCCCCTGCGCAGAGAGGGAGATATTATCCCCCCCCCTTGTTCTCCCCCTCTAAAACTAGGTGTGTCTTGTGGTCCGGTGCGTCCTATAGAGCAAAAAATACAGTATGTGCCAGAGGATCTCATTGTGGTCCTTCCTCTCCACCCCGAGCCAACCCTGTGTCCCCTTCATGCGCTCAAACCCCATCATGGTCTAACCCCGCATACGGTGAGGCCACATTTCAGCATACGGGACCGCCTCTCCTGGTATGCCCTGTGGAGGACCTTAAGGTCCACAGATAACAACACTTTGGAGGTCCCGAGCCTCAAGGTGGTTAGATTGGTCTCAACTAGGGCCAGGGCCTTTTCAGCACTAGCCCCAATCTGGTGGAATGCTCTGTCACAAGAGACTAGGGCCCTGTGGGACTTGACATCTTTCCGCAGGGCCTGCAAGACAGAGCTGTTCCGCCTGGCCTTTGGTTTGGACTCGGTCTGACCCTTATGTTTCCCTCCCCTTATGGTCTTGATTTATCGGCTACTTTAAAATGAGGCTGCATTTTAAATTGCATTTTAACCTGTATTTTAAATTGGTTTTATTCCCCCCTATTATGTTTTTATTGTGATTTTATTGGTGTTAGCCGCCCTGAGCCTAGGGAGGGCAGGGTATAAATAATTTATTTTTATTTTATTATTTATTTATTTATTTATTCATTCATTCATTCATTCATTCTGTTGTGGGGGGGGCCCTTGTAAATAGCAAGAACATTTGCAACCCCACCTTTCCTCCCCGGGTGCTCAAGGCTGCATATGTCCCTGTACCTCTGCCTTTTAATAAAACCTCGCAATGACCCTGCGAGGCAGGGGAGGCCGAAAGAGAGCGTCTGGTGCAAGGTCCACCCAGGGTGGGGGTTGGACCCAGGTCTCTGTGGACCTGCTACTCTGATCACTGCACAGCACTGCCTCTTCAGGGTGATTGCAGCACTGTGATGACTGTGTGTGTGTAGGGAGGGAACTGGTGGTGGAGATTGGGGGGACACATGTGAGCCCCACAGCCACTCTGCCCCAAGCCCCCCAGAGTGACAAAAAAAGGGGGGAGGCTGATTTCATCCCCTGTTCTTCCCCCACTTCGATGACAATAGTTCTGTTATTCTAGGTCCAGGACCTTTCATGCTTTCCCCCAACGGACTATATATATATGAGGTTTTGTTCCCCTTTTAGCTAATTCTCTCTCTCTCTTTTTCTCTCTTGCAGCATCAGCGAAAGTTTTCTCACGGTAAAAGGTGCCGCCCTCTTCCTCCCGCGTGGAAATGGATCCTCGACCCCCAGGATCAGCCACCGGCGCAACAAGCATGCAGGTAACACACCCCCCCCTCCTTGTACCTTCCTCCCATCCCGAAATCAAAAAGACTCAGGTCTCTCCCTGGGTTTTTTGCCTATTTTGGGCTGCCCAGGAAAATGGCCTCAGGCCGGCCGCCCCCAGCCTGATGTGCTCCAGCTGTTTCCCAGCTGAGTTCCCATAAGCCACAGCCAGCCAAGTGGCTGATGGGAGTTGTAGTCCGAAAGAGCTGGAGGGCACCAGGTTAGGGAAAGGCTTTCTCTAAGCACTTGTATTTTCAGATTTTATACACATCCCGCAAGCATACAAAGGAATAATTCAGTACCACTCCTTCAGTAATAAGTGGTGTCGTTTTCCCCTGCGCATTGTCAAAAAGTAAGATCCAGCAATATAGTTATCTCTTGTAAAGTCTAACCTTCTACTATAATTAACACCCTGAAATTATGCTTTACCCACAAACAAACCATACCCAAGTAATCCTGAAGTAAAATTAAAACTCATTATTTTACTTTCTGTAATTATACAGTATAATCATTGTGAACGTTCTGCGTACAGCTCAAGTAAACAGGCTTTTTCAGATGATAGCCTGTTTTGGAACTGTTTACTAAATCGGCGGCGTTTCTTCCTTTAAGACTGTTTCCCCAAACCAGAAAAGGTCATATGTTAACATTTCGTTTTACTGTTCCAAAACATTATGAGCCTACAACACCTTCCTATAATGCGGGGCGAGGGGAGCCTTAGAGCCAGTGGGGCAGGTTTGTCTGTAAAATTGCTCAGTCGTTAGAGCATGAGACTCTTAATCTCAGGGTTGTGTGTTTGAGCCCCGTGTTGAGCAAAAAGATTCCTGCATGGCAGGGGGTTGGACTAGATGACCCTCATGGTCCCTTCCAACTCTGTAATTCCATGATTCTTTGAAATATGGCCCCCGGTGCCTCCCCCAGGACTCTCCCCTGTTCATACCCTGCTCTGCACCTTCCTTGGATGCTGTTCCCAGCCTGGAAGGTCTTCCTGAACTGTGGTGGTGCCTCTGTGAGCATTTGCGGCAGCCGCCACCTGAGACAATTATATCCGTTTGCCTAATGGATGGGCCGGCCCCAGTGAACTGTCCATGATCCAGAATTCCACTAACCCAGGGATGTGGCCGCAGCGGCAGGGTTGTGTGGGGCTGGCTTTGTGGTGAGGAGGAATCCTGGCAGCCTCTGAAAAAAAATCTCTCTTTCCTTTGTGGTTTGAAGATGGGGAGGCGGAAGAATCTTGCTGCCTTCCCCATCCTGCAGTTCTCTGCGTTGTCATCTGCACGTGCCAGAGGACCAGGGTTCAGGAGGAGGAGGTGGTAGCAAGGCCTTGTAAGCAAAGCTGATATTTGCTGGACCCCTTCTCCGTGGGCCTTGAAGCCTGAACACGGAAATGTTTGGGATTTGGAGGAGAGAACTTGTGTTTTGTTCGTTTGATTTAATGCTCTCATATCCCACCTTTTTACCCAAGGAGCTCAAGGCGGTGTATACATAGTTCTTCCCCCACTCCTCATTTAACCCCCACAACAACCCTGTGAGGTAAGTTAAGCTGAGAGTAGTCGCTGGCCCAAGACCACCCAGTGAGAGTTTCATGGCCAAGTGGGATTTGAGCCTGGTCTTAGTCTGACACTCTAAGCACTGTACCAAACAGGCTCTGCACCTTGATCCTTCCTTCTCCATCCCAGGTGACCTCCAGCAACACCTCCAAGCAATGTTCATGCTGCTCCGTCCAGAGGACAACATCAGGCTGGTAAGTCTCGCACACATGTCCTTTCCTTGCTCTGTGGCTGACGCCTTAGGGTGCCTTGCTGTAGTAAAGTGCCCTTGGCGTCTCATTCCTCCTCTCTGTGTGCCTCCCCTCTCTTATGGCTCTGCTTGGGAACTCGATACACAATGCTGATAAATGCCTCCTTTGAGAGGTGTGGAGCTCAGAATTCAGAACCTCTGGAATCCCTGTTCTTAAAGCTTCATGGTTGAACTCAGCAAACAGGCAGGCATCTTCTCCTGAAACTCTGGGAGCGGTAAATGAACAAAAAGCCCTGGCATTCAAAGCAGGGGAGGGCAGTCAGTGCCCCTCCTGGCCCTTTAGCGTGAACAAAATCAGAACAAATGAATGCAAATAAATACATAAATAACCACGGAGAGTTGGAAGCAGCCAGCCCACATCTTCCTGGCAGAGTAGGCATTTGCATACAGAAGACCCTAGGTTGGCTTCCTGGCATCTGTGGTTGGAAGGATCTCTGAATCAGGGGGTGGGGCAGACCCCTCCCTGGCCTGAGAGACTGTGGAGGGCTGCTGTTGGTCAGAGGAGATGCTGCTTGGGCTAGATGAACCCGTGTTGTTCATACGCAGCTTCCTATGCACTTTTAAGAGGATTAGACACATTCAGGGCAGGTGCAGGCACCAGTGGCTGCTCACCATCGTGACTATATTCTCCCTACAGTGTTTGAGGCCTCTGAGAACCAGTTGAGGAGGCTCTCAAGAGGGGAGAGAGCTGCTCCTGCAAGGCTCATCCTGCTTGTGGGCTTCCCTTTGGAGCATCTAAATCACCACTGTAAATAATAATAATAGTAATAATAAAAATTATTATTTTTATAATAATAGCGGGTGCAGTACCAAGTTGGGAGCAGCGGGTGGCGCTGTGGGTTAAAGCCTCAGCGCCTAGGGCTTGCCGATCGAAAGGTCGGCGGTTCGAATCCCTGCGGCGGGGTGCGCTCCTGTTGCTCGGTCCCAGCGCCTGCCAACCTAGCAGTTCGAAAGCACTCCCGGGTGCAAGTAGATAAATAGGGACCGCTTACTAGCGGAAAGGTAAACGGCGTTTCCGTGTGCGGCTCTGGCTCGCCAGATGCAGCTTGTCACGCTGGCCACGTGACCCGGAAGTGTCTGCGGACAGCGCTGGCTCCCGGCCTATAGAGTGAGATGAGCACACAACCCTAGAGTCTGGCAAGACTGGCCCGTACGGGCAGGGGTACCTTTACCTTTACCTTAATAATAAAAATAATAGTAATAGTAATGATAATAATTTATTTATACCCCACCCATCTGGCTGAGTTTCCCCAGCCACTCTGGGCGGCTCCCAATCAAGTGTTAAAAACAACACAGCATTAAATATTAAAAACTTCCCTAAACAGGGCTGCCTACAGATGTCTTTTTAAGAGAAGATAGCTGCTTATTTCCTTCACATCTGAAGGGAGGGTGTTCCACAATGTGGGCGCCACCACTGAGAAGGCCCTCTGTCTGGTTCCCTGTAACCTCACTTCTCGCAGGGAGGGAACTGCCAGAAGGGCCTCGGTGCTGGAGACAGGAGACTGGACAGGACGGACCTCCCTGTGGCCTGATCCAGATGCAGGGCTCTTCCCATGTTCTTCTGATTGCTTGCCAAATCCTAGAACAAGTTCGTATTCCCACGAGCAGCACAGAGTTGAACTATGGAACCTGTTCCCCCGGGAGGCAGCGATGACCACCAGCCTAGATGTCTTTAAAAGAGAAGTAGACAAATTCATGAAAGAGGAGAGGGCTACTGATGGCTCCTAACCAGGATGGCTCGGCTCTGCCTTCACGGTTGGAGACAGCAATGTCTCTGAATCCCAGTTGCTGGAAACCCCAGGAGGGGAGAGTTGCTCTTGTGCCCAGATCCTGCTTGCCGTTTTCCCATTGGGGCATCTGGTTGGCCACTGTGAGAACAGGATTCTGGTCTAGGTGGGCCATGGGCCTCTTCTTAAGGAGCAAGTCATGACCCCATCCCACCCAGTCTCTTGGCAAACCTCTACTGGTAGTTAGTGCTCATCGGGTGGTTGGGGTTGTGCTCCGCACCGCCGCCGGCTCCCAACCGATCAGCAAATCAATTGTTCTGCACTATCACTGGCGGCTTTGTACATTTTCCGTGGGTAGCTTTCTCGGGTTATTTTTTGATAAACTGGGCTTTCAAGCAAGGAGAACGAGGGGTCGCAGACGGGGACAATGGGGCCACTTTGTGCAGTACCAAGTTGGGAGCGCCAAAGTCATGCCGGGGTCACTCTTTGATCATCCGCTCCTGTTTGTGCTGGCTGGGTGTCAGTCGATACTCGGAGCTGTAGAGGTAGCGGGAAACTTTGGAGTGGCCAATCCCTGGGCAAAGGAAGGTCTTCTTTCCTTGGATGCCCAAAGAACTGACTTGATTAGTGATTATTATTTGTTTTGTTTTATTAAAGAGTGTTAAGGACTGGCTTTGAGAAGACAGCGTTGCCTCCTGGTCAAATTTAATTACCTCCATGTATAAAAGCGATAGAAGAAAATGGGTAGAGAGAAGCTTTTCCTCCTTTTCTTGTAATGCTAGAATTCATGGACATTGAGTGAAGCTGAGTGCTGGAAGAGTCAGCATAGATAGAATAAAGTACTTCATGCAGAGTCTGGGAGGTGGGACTTATTTGCCTGCCACCTGCAACAACCAGAGGCAGAATTCATTTCTGTTTCTGCCGTGAGAGAGCATCACTTTCTGGGCTGCCATGCTCAAGGCCAACGCAGGACCAGGTTGCCTGAAAAGACCCTCCTGTCTGCCCCCTGTAGACTTGTGAGATTGCTTATTGGTTCTCCACCTGTGGGTCCCCAGATGTTGTTGGACTACAACTCCCATCATCCCTGAGCTCTGGCCTTGCTAGCTAGGGGTGATGGGAGTTGTAGTTCAACAACATCTGGGGACCCACAGGTTGAGAAAGGCTTGGAGAGAAATTTTACTTGTGGCACCACGCCCTGCAAACATCACAGGGCAGTGACCCCAAAATGGTCATATGTGATGCCTTACCCACCAGATGCTTCAAACGTCATTTAAAGAGATTTCCCTCTTTTCCCCAGCCCAAAAGAATTGACCTTGTTGTTCCTGGATTCCTGTTTATGTAACGGTGCTTTTTAACATGTTGCTTTTGTCTGCCACTAAAGAGATTTTTTTTAAAAAAAAAAAAGCTAAGCAGTTTAGAAGTGCTTTTATATAGATAATAAATATACAGAGCAAGCATGTTTAAATGAGCTTCAGAACTCAACTTTCCTTGGCAGAGGAGTTGGGATTTATTGCTTTTCCCCTAAGCACACCCTTTGATCTGTGCAGCCCTTCCGAGATCCAGGGATGAGGCCCTTTCGGAGGAAACGTTTGTCCTTTCCTGGATTATGGAAAAAGTGCTGACGTTGGTCAGAGCCTAGAAATGACGCCTAACTCTGTGGTCCAAGCCAGCTTTCCAGTTTAGAAATAGCCCCGGTTAACGGAAATAGCCCCGGTTTTGGCTCTCCAAAAACCTGTAGTGCTGTTTTGAGTCGTCTCAGTGTGTCAGGAGGTGTATGCCTATAGAAAGACTGCTTGCTGGGCAGGAATCATTACAGCAAAGTGTGGACTTCTTGGCTAACATCTCCGAGAGATCAGAGCACCTCCTTCCCTTGCAAGAGGTCCTGGGTTCAAATTTGGTTTAAAGGCACCCTGGGTATCAGGAACGGAAAATGCCTTTCCCCAGGTCTTGGAATTCTCAGCCAGAATATGCAGAACGGGCTTTGTATCATAGAAACAGAGAGTTGGAACGGACCCCCCCCCCCAGGATCATCTAGTCCAACCGCCTGCAATGCAGGAATCCTGGCCAAAGAACCCCTGACAGATGGCCATCTTTGTAAGGGGTGGGAGATACTGTTTTGTAGCAAGGGGTAAAAATGCCCCCAAACCATTGGAGCCTTCACTTTAGTTTGAAGGCGGTTCTTGGGTTGGCAGAGCAGAATCTGCTGTTCTGCTATTTGCGTGAGACTTGTACATTGCAGCTGACCAATCAATAGCTTTGACCAGGACAGATAAATTAGTTCATTTGTTTTTTAAACCATGGGAGGGGTCGAGTATGCTGTATCTTAAGCCCCATGGGGATATGCATATGCTCAGACAAATTTCAGACGTTTTGCTGCATAGGTTTGCAAAACATACCTAAGCAGCCGAACCTGGTGGGCCGGTCTTGTGATTGGTACAAGCAGCATTTTTAAAGCTTCTGGACTGGAGGACCCCGGGTACAAAGCCGCCTCTTTGGACTGCGTGTGCCCCCACCCACCCTCTTGGAAGGACACCCGACAGCGAGCAGGGAGGGGAATGACTCCTCCTCCTGCCAGTCCTAGAAATTTGCTCAGCAAATCCTGTTTCGGCAGCTCGAAGGCAGGCCGTCCCCTTTGGCCTCTCCGGGCTCTGTTTAGCGGTGATCTTATGTCAAAACCACCCTGCTAATTATTGCTGCCCAGATTGGTTTAGCAAAGCAAATTAGATTACGCTAATCCACTTGATGCCAGACAGGCCGCTGGAGAGCCAGCAGGAAGCTGCATTTAGGGAGTTAAGGGGAAAGAAGCTGCGTTTCCCATTTTAGCGTCTGCTGGCTTCATAGCAGGACATGCCTTGCACTGTATAAAGCCCTGCCGGATCACTTGAAACCAGGGGGTTGCCAACGTGGTGCCCGTGGGTGACTGCATGGCCATCCATACTGTCTAACATACCTGCAAAAGGTCTCAGTAACTACCCCCTTCTTTAAACCCCCCCCCCCAATGCACAAGAGGGGCTTTTTGCTCTTACTGCTCAGTTCCTGTTTGCACGAGTGGCTCAGCTTCTCCCGCATTGAACATACACCCCACCCCTAAGACATGCCCATATTTCATTGGGAGCCAGGATTGGATACCTGCTCTCCCTTCCCTTCTGAGTAGAGGAGTGGTGGAAATGTCCCCATCAAGGAGGGGAGGGCAGGCCCACTCCAATTTGTGGTCCTGTGCCTCTCTTTTTTGCTCTTTTATGGGTGGCAGCTATTATTCCATGGGGACGCGGGTGGCACTGTGGTCAGACTCTAAACCACTGAGCCTCTTGGGCATGCTGATCAGAAGGTCAGCAGTTCGAATCCCCACGACGGGATGAGCTCCCATTGCTCTGTCCCAGCTCCTGCCAACCTAGCAGTTCGAAAGCACACCAGCGCAAGTAGATAAATAAGTACTGCTGCGGCGGGAATGTAAACAGCGTTTCCGTGTGCTCTGGTTTCCGTCACGGTGTCCCTTTGCGCCAGAAGCAGTTTAGTCATGCTGGCCACATGACCCAGAAAACTGTCTGCGGACAAATGCTGGCTCCTTTGGCCTGAAAGCGAGATGAGCGCTGCAACCCCATAGTTGCCTTTGGCAGGACTTAGCCCTGTGTGCCCACTGTGGGGAAGAGGGCTATCAATGGCTACTAGTCAGGGTGGCTGTGCTCTGCCTGCCTGTTTGGAGGCAGCAATCTTCTGAATGAAAAGTGCTGGAAACCGCAGGAGGGGAGAGTTGCTCTTGTGCTCAGGTCTGGCTTGCGGGTTTCCCACTGGGGCATCGGGTTGGCTACTGTGAGAACAGGATACTGAGATAGATAGGCCATTGGCCTCATCCTACAGACGCTTCTTATGTTCTTAAGGCTGACACCTGCTACTTACCTAAAATATCTCTGCCCATTCTGGTTTTCTGTGCCACCAGTGACCAGATGGCTTCCTTTGAAAAAGCCCCCAGCAAGCAGGATTTGCAGGATCATCCCTTCTCCTATTTGGCACCCAGTTTGCCAAGTTACACTGCTGTTGGACATGCATGCTCCATTTTGACCCTTGTGGGACAGTTGTACCCGCTGGCAAGTCAAAGGAAGTACGAGTGTCGTACAATAAAACCATGTACTCATTTGTAACTGAAGCTGGTGCTCTGTTTTGTCCCACAGATCTGTAGGGAAAAGCCACTGGGCTTTGGGGGCAGATATCCCATGCCTTCCTGGAGAAAACCACGGTTTCTAGCTCTCCGCAGTTGGAAGCTAAGCCACATAAGACTCTTGCGGGGTCTCTGGGGCGGGATTTGTTCAGGCAGGGTGTTTAACTTGCACAGTTTACACCGGTGCCGGAGTGCCACTTCCTGTAGCCTCGAGCCTGCCTTGGAGAGCCCATCCAAGGTTTCAGGCCCCCCGCCAGGGCCCTCCCCTTCAGGAAATTCTTAGAGAAGAACCACGACTATTTAGCAGAAGCGGTTCTTTCTGTGGTTGGGCTGCTCTGGGCAAAATAAAATAAAATCCACACACCCTAGATGGGCCAGTTAGCATAATCAAGACGTCCCTTCTGCGGCAATGCCATGGTTCCTCTTGCAGTCGGTGAGGTCAGAAAACATCAAGCAGAATGCAAATGTCCCGGGAGTTGAGCTAGGAGGCTGTAAAAAGAAAAAGGATGCGCCGAATGCCAGGGGTCCGCCCCACCCCTGCCCGGGGGCATCTTCAGGCCACACAAGGCAAGTTCCTCTTGGCTTCTTGTAAGCGACTTGCGCTGCGTGACGCTGGCTTCCTGGCATGCCGCGTCAGCGCCCGTACGTATCTTGCCGACTTGGCATCAGGATGGGGAACCAGACCGGGGCCGGCGGGGGTGGGGAGGAATTGGCATATATAGTCTTCCTTGTGCTGACTCAGCTCCTCCGCAGTCTGGAGCTGAACCTTGCCGGCTATTCTTGGTCCGTACGGCCAAGCGCCCGTCGCCTGTCGTTCATAGGCGGGCTTATTTCCTATCGCAGAATTGTAGAGGTCGAAGGGGGGACTCCAAGGGTCATCCAGCCCAACCCACTGCAATGAAGTACATGAAGCCAAAGTTTCCCTCTCTGATCATGGGGGAAGTTGAAGTTTTCTTGAAGGATGGAGGGATTCTCCAGGGCATGTCCAGAGGTTCGGAGCAGGTACACTCTCACACACACACATGACGGTTGAAGCTATTCCCTTTATCCAGCAGCTCAAAAAGACTTCTTGTAATTGCAGCAGTCAGCACCCCACCTGTGTTGCAGAGCAGTAGGGAGATGAGTTTGGGATACTGCATTGAACATCCCGAGATAATCTCAGGTTTTGGGGTTGTTTTCGTTGTTTCTTTTTAAGAAGAGAAAGCAAGCCTCCTGGCTGCAGAGAGAGGTTTGAAAGGCCACGGATTTGATGCAGTCTTAATCGTATCTCAAGGAGTTTTCTGCGCTGGCACAGACTTGGTTCCTCCACAGGCACCAGCAGTTAAAGATGCCCTGTTTTTCAGGTGGCAACCGTTTTGCAGACAAAAGGGGATTTGCTGGGTTCTGCGTGCTCTTGGCGCCTTGGGCTTGAGTTAATGTTGATGCAGAATTGCTGCCCACTGAGTCACTGTTTTCTTTTAAGGTGGCACCCTTTTCCTGCCAAACGCTTCTTGCTGGCCTTCCAAGCCCCTTTCCCGTGGGCTTTGGCTCGTACTGGGAGACCAGTGGCAAATGCGTCTCCCCTCTCTCAGGCTGGCAGAGGTGCAGGGAGCGCCATTGCTCTATGGCAGAGCTACCTGCATTGCAGGCAGAAGGTCCTGGGCCCAATCCCCAAGGACATCTCCAGGTGGGACTGGGAGAAAACTCCCTGCCTGGAACCCTGGAGAGCTGCTGCCAGCCAGTGTAGACAGCAGTGAGCTCAATTGACACCCCACCCCGGTGTAGAATATGGAGAGTGGGCTCTACAAACAGCTGAAAAGCTTCTCCCCTTCTTTTCCCAGGCTGTGAGACTGGAAAGCACATACCAGAACCGGACTCGATACATGGTGGTGGTCTCAACTAATGGTCGGCAGGACACCGAGGAAAGCATCGTCCTGGGAATGGACTTCTCTTGCAACGACAGGTATGTGGTGAATTGGAGTGAGAGAGCTGACCAGGATGTGCAATTGTTATCTTATTTTTTTGCAAGTTCTCCAAGAGGGCTGTCAATCATTTGGGGAGTTTGGAGCTGTTTCCCTCTGAAGGACGGGTTGAAGCATTCATAGGATCACAGAATTGTAGGGTTGGAAGGGACTCCAAGGGTCATCTAGTCCAACCCACTGCACCACAGGAGTCACAGCCAAAGAATCCATGTTATCTAGGTTGTTGTCTAGGAAACAAGGGCACTTAAGAGGGAGCACCACCAATCAGGTCCTCAGTGTGAGTGCTGGAGGCTTCCCACAACAGCAATCAAAGTGGTGTTGCCACAGAGCACAAGTTTCTAATCCTCAAGGCTGTGAAGCACGTTGGTGCAGCACAAATCTCAAAGCAGGTGAGATTTCAAATGAGCTCGAGTGAAAATTACAGCGGTACCTTGGGTTACAGACTCTTCAGGTTACAGACTCCGCTAACCCAGAAATAGTATCTCGGGTTAAGAACTTTGCTTCAGGATAAGAACAGAAATTGTGCTCTGACGGCACAGCAGCAGCGGGAGGCCCCATTAGCTAAAGTGGTGCTTCAGGTTAAGAACAGTTTCAGGTTAAGAACGGACCTTTGGAACGAATTAAGTACTTAACCAGAGGTAACCACTGTACTTCATTCTGGTTGTATTTTTTTCAGAAATATCATTGAAGGATAACATTTATTACGCATGCAACCCTGTTTTCTTTGTTGTAAGCCACTCTGAGCTCGATTTTGTGTGTGTGTGTGGGAAAGCAGCATACAAATAAAAGGATGAATGAATGAGTAGCCCATCTTTCCTCCAAGGAGCTCAAGAATGGTGTACCTGGTTTTCTCCCCACATCAACCCCATGTGGTAGTTAGGCTGAGAGGGAAAGATCGGCCTAAGGTCACCCCACTGAGCTTTCAGACTGAGCAGGGATTTGAACCCTGGTTTCCCAGGTCCTGGTCTGGCACCCCTGCAAAACCCTGGCCCTGTTCCCTGTTCCTTTCCAGTTTGGGCATAAAGTGGTTCGGCCCAGTGTCCATTTCTGTTTGGTCTTGGTGGGTGGAAGAAGTTCCCCCATCCCTTCCAGCCCTGCTTACGTACAGTGGTGCCTCGCAAGACGAAATTAATTCGTTCCGCAAGTTCTTTCTTCTTGCGAGTTTTTCGTCTTGCGAAGCACGGTTTCCCATAGGAATGCATTGAAAATCAATTAATGCGTTCCTAGGGAAACTGCTTGCCAGGCTGGCGGTGCGGAGAAGGGCTTTTCTCCGCACCGCAAGCCTTCAGGACAGGTACGGGAACAGAGGGGAAGGCGCGCAGCGCTTCTCCTCTGTTCCCGGGGCTTGCGTGGGAGGAGGGTTTTTCCTCCCCACCGCCAACATTCAGAACAGCATTCTGAATGTTGGCGGTGGGAAGGAAAACCCTCCTCCCACCCCAAGTCTTCAGGACAGCCATCCGATGCCGGGCTGCGGGAGGAGGCGTTCCCCCCCCCCGCCCGGCATTGGAGCTTCATTCCGATGTCCGGCGGCGGGAGGAGACGTTCTCCCCCCCCCCCGCCGGACATCGGAGCTTCGTTCCGATGTCCGTTGGAGGGAGGAGACGTTCCCCCCCCCCGCCGGACATCGGAGCTTCGTTCCGATGTCCGTTGGAGGGAGGAGACGTTCCCCCCCCCCGCCGGACATCGGAGCTTCGTTCCGATGTCCGTTGGAGGGAGGAGACGTTCCCCCCCCCCCCCCGCCGGACATCGGAGCTTCGTTCCGATGTCCGTTGGAGGGAGGAGACGTTCCCCCCCCCGCCGGACATCGGAGCTTCGTTCCGATGTCCGTTGGAGGGAGGAGACGTTCCCCCCCCGCCGGACATCGGAGCTTCGTTCCGATGTCCGTTGGAGGGAGGAGACGTTCCTCCCCCCCGCCGGACATCGGAGCTTCGTTCCGATGTCCGTTGGAGGGAGGAGACGTTCCCCCCCCCCCCGCCGGACATCGGAGCTTCGTTCCGATGTCCGTTGGAGGGAGGAGACGTTCCCCCCCCCCGCCGGACATCGGAGCTTCGTTCCGATGTCCGTTGGAGGGAGGAGACGTTCCCCCCCCCCCGCCGGACATCGGAGCTTCGTTCCGATGTCCGTTGGAGGGAGGAGACGTTCCCCCCCCCCCGCCGGACATCGGAGCTTCGTTCCGATGTCCGTTGGAGGGAGGAGACGTTCCCCCCCCCCCCCGCCGGACATCGGAGCTTCGTTCCGATGTCCGTTGGAGGGAGGAGACGTTCCCCCCCCCCCCGCCGGACATCGGAGCTTCGTTCCGATGTCCGTTGGAGGGAGGAGACGTCCCCCCCCGCCGGACATCGGAGCTTCGTTCCGATGTCCGGCGGCGGGAGGAGGTCCGAGGACAGTGGGGAAGATGCACTGCGCTTCCCCGCTGTCCCGGAGATTTCCCTATGGGCTGTCGTCTTGCGAAGCAAGCCCATAGGGAAATTCGTTTTGCGAAGCGCCTCCAAAACGGAAAACCCTTTCGTCTAGCGGGTTTTCCGTCTTGCGAGGCGTTCGTCTTGCGGGGTACCACTGTATCTCTTGCTTGCTTCCTCGGACACCGAATATCCCTCCCTTCTGACCCACTGAGTATTTACAAACCCGATTTAGCCTTGTTGCTGGGGGCTTTGGTGGAAGTGGTAGGTGGAAGAGATCCCTAAAAATATCTCCAGTCTCTTTGGGAAGCTGCTCAGAGGTGCCCTTTTTCTCCTCACCCCCCCTTCTTTCCATGAGTTAATCTCATTTCCTACACACACACACACACCTCTACCTTTAAGAAAACCTCCCCTGATGGCTGGGGGTTCTTTTTGTGTGGAGGGGGTGGGGTTGTCAGCAGACTCTGCCTGTGTGTGATGCCCTCTCTGTTGTTGTTGTTGTTTAAATACATGGCTCCTTTCCAACAAACTGCCCAAGGTGTCTGCATTCCAAACTGACAGTGGAAACAATACCGATAATGTAAAAAATAAGAAAAATGTCAGTGCATTTATATATATATATATCTCACTGTCTGAGTCCTACTGTTTCTTCCAGGTTAGAGAAAAGTTTTGCCTGGTATTATCATTAAATAATAATAATAATAATAATAATAATAATAATAATAATAATAATAATAATTTATTATTTATACCCCACCCATCTGGCTGAGTTTCCCCAGCCACCTTGGGCAGCTCCCAATTAAGTGTTAATTAATTAATTAACTAATTAATTAATTAATTAATTAAGTGTTAAAAACAGCATTAAATATCAAAAACTTCCCTAAACAGGGCTGCCTTCAGATGTCTTTTAAAGATAAGATAGCTGCTTATTTCCTTCACATCTGAAGAGAGGGCGTTCTACAGGGCGGGCGCCACTACCGAGAAGGCCCTCTGCCTGGGTCACCTTCAAAAGTAGCCCCACGTAGAGCTATGAACTCATGAAAAAGTGGGGAGGGGAGAAAGGACCAGTAATTAAATCTTCCTCCCGTCCCGTCATTCTTTTTTGTGGGAACAGAAACCGACAGCAAGGAATTGAGAGAAGCTACTCAAGGGGCAATTGATAGGCTGTTCATCATTCATTCTCTACCTTCCACACAGAGAGAGCGCTTATCACAAAGCAATAAAACAGTCTGAGCCTACCAGGATGAAAGCGGGGAGTCCTTTGTCAATGTGTCTTGCACGGACAAAGACATTGCAGGAGGTTCCTGGCTGTGGGGAAAGGCACCGATGAATAATGTTGTGATCCTCCAGGGGGGCACCGTTGTATCCAATGCTAGTCCCATTCAGAATAGACCCATTTAAAGTATTGGCCAAAACTAACTTGGGTCCTTCATAGAAGCTTAAAAAGGTAAAGGTACCCCTGCCCGTACGGGCCAGTCTTGACAGACTCTAGGGTTGTGCGCCCATCTCACTTAAGAGGCCGGGGGCCAGCGCTGTCCGCAGACACTTCTGGGTCACGTGGCCAGCGTGACATCGCTGCTCTGGCGAGCCAGAGCCGCACACGGAAACGCCGTTTACCTTCCCGCTAGAAAGCGGTCCCTATTTATCTACATGCACCCGGAGGTGCTTTCGAACTGCTAGGTTGGCAGGCGCTGGGACCGAACAACGGGAGCGCACCCCGCCGCGGGGATTCGAACCGCCGACCTTTCGATCAGCAAGCCCTAGGCGCTGAGGCTTTTACCCACAGCGCCACCCGCGTCCCCTCATAGAAGCTTAGAATTGTAGAATTGGAAGGGACCCCAACGGTCCTCTATTCCATCCCCATGCAAAGCAGGAATCTCAACAAGATCATACATGACGGGTGGCCATCCAACCTCTGCTTTGAAACCTCCAAGGAAGGAGAGTCCACCGCCCCTTGTGGGAGACTGTTCCACTGTGGGACAGCTCTTGCAGTCAGAAAGTTCTTCCTGATGTTTAGAAGGGATCTCCTTTCCTGTAACTTGAATCCATTGGTTCGAGTCCTACCCTCCATAGCAGGAGAAAACAAGCTTGCTCCATCCTCCGTGTGACAGCCCTTGAGATATTTGAAGACACCTATCATATCTCTCCTCTCAGACTCCTATCATCCAGGCTAAACATCCCCGAGTCCCTCAACCATTCCTCATCAGGTTTGGTTTCCAGACCCTTCATCATCTTGGTCTCCCTCCTCTGCACACCTTCCAGCTTGTCAATGTATGCTGGAGTCTCTTCCAGTGCTTTAAAACGTCCATCTCCCACGGGCCTTCTTTTTCCTTTTTGTAAAGGATTCTCTTGCAGAGTTTAAATCGCCGTCCTCCCCTCTCTTTTGTTTCCTGCAGCAGTGTTTGCACAATGGGGCTGGTCCTGCCACTCTGGAGCGATGCCTTGATTCATCTGGATGGCGATGGGTAAGAGCCTGCGATTGTCTGGTTTTTGTGTTGCTATGAACGCGCAAAAAGGCCCCCGGCCCCCCTCTGCCCTCTCCCTCCCCCCCTCTGCCCCGCTTTGCAATCCAGGAAGCATTATTGAGTGTGACCTACATGCAAGTAAATATTGTGGAAGGCTCTTGGCCAAGTGTTGAACCATCAGGCAACTTCCAGGAAACCCTGACCCCCTTGTAATCCTTCTGAGGCAGGAGGGCAGCCTGAACCAACATCTGGCCCCCTCCAGGTGTTTTTGGCTGCAACTCCCCATCAGCCTCAGCCAACATCTGGAGGTCACCAGGTTGTCCAGGGGCTGCCCTTTTTCATAGCCTCCTGGCTCCCAGGAAGGAAGAGCATCTGGCCTTTTTCGATTAACACTGAGTGTCCAAACCGCCGTCTTTGCTGAAGTGTTGTTTGACTGGCTGTTGTCTCCATTTCCCTCCTTTCCAGGGGCTTCAGCGTCTCGACAGACAACCGGGTGCACATCTTTAAGCCTGTCTCTGTGCAAGCCATGTGGTGAGAGAATTTGTGTTCCTTTATTTTTTTACACACAGTTTATAGAGAAGGTTTTTGGAGTAGGAAGGAAGACGTATTCTCATAAATGGAGGCTCGCGAGAAGCCCTTGGAGGCTGGAACGATCCTTGGACCTCTCTTGGGTGTGCATCTTTCAGCTGCATTATGTAGAATCTTGGCTACTCCAAGACTGACGTCACTGCTTTTCATTTGCACTTAGGTCAGAACTGGTGCTCTCCAGAATGATGGAATGCAATCACCATGGGCTATCTTCAATATACCACCAATGTTGTGTTAAAATAATAATTTATTATTTATACCCCGCCCATCTGGCCAAGTATAGCCAAGGTTGCAAGTTTGATCCCCGTACGGGACAGCTGCATATTCCTGCATTGCAGGGGGTTGGGCTTGATCAGGGGTCGGCAACCTGCGGGCCATGGGCCACAAGCAGCCCATGGGGGCAGTTTGACCGGCCCACAAGCCACCCCCAAACCAAGCTGCCTGCTCGGCGAGTCCCCGCACACTGTGCTAAACCGGCACGGCGTGGAGACTCAGTTCCGCGGCGCCAAAATCGCGTCTGCGCATGCCAGGCGCTGAAAATCACGTCTGCACATGCCCAGGCGCTGGAAATCGCACACATGCGATCCGGCCCACAGAGAGATCTCCACAGGACTTGACCAGCCCAGGCAGGTATAACCTTGCTGACCCCTGGGCTAGATGATCCATAGGGTTCCTTCCAACTCTAAAATTCTATGGTTCTATGGTTACCACGGAGCCCTCTGTTACCTCCGCGTTGGTTGGTTGGTTGGTTGGTTTTAGAGCCCTTATATTTGTTTCACAGCTCTAGTGTCCAAAAGGGCTCCCAGAGTAGCCTAAATACAGGCATTTATAACCAGAGTCCCCTTTCTGCGGGGTTACAATGTATTTAAAAAGACACGACATACAAGGAAAAAGGGAGGAGGACAGAAGAGAGGAGGAAGCAAACACAGGTGCCAGTTCCTAAAAGTAAAGTATTGGTTATTGCAGTGACTAGCTGGAATGGGGGAACAGTTCAAGGTCAGGAAGTTGCCAGTGAAACTGGCCTTTCAGCAGAGCGACCTAAACTCTGGGTGATGTTTATAAGGGATTCTCTTTGGCATCCGAAGAGCCAGGCAGAGCTTTATATGTCCAGGTTTTGCCAGCTAAGCCTGCTGGATAATCCTTCTCCTTTATAGGACAGCTCTCAGTAGGGTTCTTCTAACAAGTTTGTGGATTCACTGAGTCAGGATCGCTTTCGCTCTTTCGAAATGTGTCACCCATTGAGCTTGCGATGTATTTGTGGGAGAGCTCCATGTCTTGGCTTTTAACCTAGATCTTTCAGGTCACGGGCAGAGAGTCAGGACGCCAGCTCAAAACAAGTGGAGCGGCTCCTTCTTAGAAAGCGTCTCGGGACATTTTGAAATGACAGCACATCCTGTGATGGGCTTCAACCCATTGTGGCTCCCTTCCGAGCTCAATAGCTCTCAGGAAGGGACGTAAACATGGGGACATCATGGGGACATCACGAGAGCCAAAGGGGCCCCTATGGCCCAGCCTCCTGTTCTCTCAGTGGCCAACCAGATGTCTCTTCTGGGAAACCCACAAGCAGGACTTGAGCACAAGAGCAATTCTCCTCGCTTGCCATTCCCAACATTTGCTGCCTGGGACCCTGGAGGAGGAACAGAGCCACTGAGAGCCTTCCATGCCGAGGGAAGAATTTGGCACCATGTGAGACTGGACATTGCCTGTTTGTGTGCAGCGTGTGTTCTGGGCTGGCTGTCAGACTGGGCTTTGGAAAGTTGTGGGGAGGAGAAGAAAGGCCTGCCCCACCGGAAGCTTACTAGGAGATTCATAGAACCATAGAATTGCAGATTTGGAAGCGGCCCCCAAGTGACTCCCCCTTCAATGCAGGAATCACAGCTAAATGCAGAGCGAAGCAGCATTTGCTACACTTATTTTTATTTATATATAATAAAGCGATTGCATTCTGTGAAATAGGAGGAAAGTGGGTGGGTGTGGTGTGGGTTGTATGTGTAACTGGAGAATCCAGGTATTGAGCATGGGGCGCCCGTCTTGCTCAGCTCCCCTATAGGTCTCCTTTAGAGGTGCTCTTACCTCAAAAGGTGGGGGGGAAATAGCCAATACTAACAGCCAAGTGTTGTCGTCGTTTACTTTTTATTTCTAATTTTCAAAAGTGTACAAGTTGATGCATACTAATAGCCAAGTGTGATTATTTAGTGGAAAGCAAAAGGCAAGTTTTGCACCATATGGTCTGACTGTTGATTATATAGCACAGTCAGAAGGACCTCCCAGCAGAGAAGCAGCTACAGTATGCCTTTATACCAATAAACAAGCCTGGCTGCGTCTCTTTGGAGTCCAGGTACCTTTGATGGGCTATATGATTGACCAGACATTTCTGTGAAGCAACAGAGAGAAATTAATTTCCATTTTATTTTATTTATTTAATATTTGTAGTTATATTGAATGTACAGTTAAATCTTTTTAGGTTGCGTCCCACGGCGACCTGGAAGTACCGGAAAGAGTTACTTCCGGGTTTTGCCGCTCACGCATGTGCAGACGCGCAAAATGACGTCACAGAAGCGGCAAATCATGACCCGCAGATGCGGGTTGCATTCTGCTCATGTTGCGAACGGACTCCGGAACGGATCCCGTTCGCAACCAGAGGTACCACTGTATTAGGAAAAGTAGTTCCAAATTATTATTTTTCCTACTTTGTAATCATGTGTATTTTCTTTGGGTTGATAGAGTTTCTTTTGAAAATAATAATAATAATAATAATAATAATAATAATAATAATAATAGCAGTTAAGCGTGTCATTTCTCCCTGGGTCAGCTGTGGGCCCTCTCCGTCCTCTGGCTGCTTCGGATTCCCTGACTTCTTTCCTCTGCTTTTATTTTCTCCCTCCTCCACCTCCTCCATCCAGGTCTGCCCTGCAGAGTCTCCACAAGGCCTGCGAAGTGGCTCGCATCAACAACTACTACCCGGGGAGCCTTTTCCTCACGTGGGTCAGCTACTATGAGAGCCACATCAACTCGGACCAGTCCTCCGTCAACGAATGGAACGCCATGCAAGATGTCCAGTCCCACCGACCCGATTCGCCTGCCCTCTTCACGGACGTGTGAGTAGGGCTGGGGACGGTTTTGATTCCTTACCTGCCTCCCACCCTAACGTCCCGGGGCAGGTTGCAGCCATTCCAAGGTGCAACATTAAAACAAGTAACAGTCACGAAAGTCGGAAGAGACCTGCTGGATCAGGCCAGTGGTCAGTCTAGTAGTCCAGCATTCTGCTCTCTCAGTGGCCAGCCAGGTGCCCGTGGGAAACCCACAAGCAGGATTCGAACACAAGAGCAATGTTCTCCCCTCCTGAAAGCAACTGGCATTCAGAGGGATTGCTGCCTCTGACTGCAGAGGCAGAGCAGAGCCATCATAGAATTGTAGACTTGGAAGGGACCCTGAGTCTCATCTAGTCCCAGCTTCCTGCAATGCAACTGATAGGGTGGGTTTTGGAAAATATACATCTCGGATGTCAAAGGCCGGCGGGTTTGAGAGCATGCTGGTTTCTCTGCCAGCCTGTCTCACCTGTCAGCTGGGCTTGTTTCGCAAGGCCTATCCCTCAGCCAGCTATAATCACCCTCATCATCGTGATTCATTCATCACTTCTACATCATTAGAAGTACAGTGGTGCCTCGCAAGATGAAAAGAATCCGTTCCGCGATTCTCTTCGTCTAGCGGTCTTTTCGTCTTGCGAAGCAAGCCCATTGACAGCTTAGCGGATTAGCGCTACAGCGGTCTAGCGGCTTTTCACGATCAGCTGTTAAGCGGGTTATCAGCGGAACAGCTGATAGGCGGCTTAGCAGCTTAGGAAAAGGGGGGGGGAGCGAAAAAAACCAGCGGGGACGCGCAAGATTTTTTCGTCTTGCGAAGCAACCCCATAGGGAAATTCGTTTTGCGAAGCACCTCCAAAACGGAAAACCCTTTCGTCTAGCGGGTTTTCCGTCTTGCAAGGCGTTCGTCTTGCGGGGCAACACTGTAGTTTCAAAACAAAAACAGCAAAGACATTTGTAACAAGATTAAATCCTCAACAAAGTGGACGTCTGTGGCAAAGTCCCAGTTATCCATTGGGGGGAGCAAAAATGTATTCCCTTGCTTCTGGAAAGTACATGTGCCGGGCGCCTCCAGTTGTATCTCGACAGGGGCGCTGTTCCACAGGGCAGGGGCCGCCACACTAAAAGCCCTTCATGTTATTGTGGAGCTGTTCGCTCCAGAATACTGTTTATTACTGTTGGATTCATTCATTTGTTGGCTCTCAGATTCAGCTGTGGCCACATTGCTTCATATCTCTGCTGGTGGTCTCAGAGACATCCATCTAGCCGGGATATGTGTGTGTGTGTGTGCTTTGGTCTGATCCAGCCAGAGGCTGTGTTCACATACAGGACGATGGCATATATACATGGATGAGAGGTGTTTATTCATGGGCTTCCCAGCCCCAGAGTGCTACGGTCCTTGCTGATAAGCCCTGGCTATTTTTACCCGCCAGCGATAAGGCCAGAGAGGCTGCTGGAATGCACCCGCGGGTGCTGCTGGCTGCGTGGTGCGTTCCATATAAGGAAGCGTGGAGCCTGTTACCTTTCCAAGGAAGGTGGAGGGGCAGAATTGCTGGCCAGGCTACAGTAGCATATGCTGGCAAAATTCTGCTGGGCCAGGACCTCTTCAGGCTGCAGGATGGCTTCTGATGGAGAGGCCCGGTGTGCTGTGGTGGTTGGTACATCTCACTGGGGTTCCCTGTCTGTCCTTGGCCCTGAGATTCAGTGGTGTGGCGGTCAAAGTGTCGGGCTAGGGCAGGGGTCAGCAAACTTTTTCAGCAGGGGGGCGGTCCACTGTCCCTCAGACCTTGTGGGGGCTGGACTATACAGTGGTACCTTGGGTTACATAAGCTTCAGGTTACAGACTCCACTAACCCAGAAATATTACCTCAGGTTAAGAACTTTGCTTTAGGATGAGAACAGAAATCGTGCTCCAGTGGCACGGCGGCAGCAGGAGGCCCCATTAGCTAAAGTGGTGCTTCAGGTTAAGAACAGTTTCAGGTTAAGAATGGACCTCCAGAACGAATTAAGTACTTAACCTGAGGTACCACTGTATGAACGAATTTCTATGCCCCACAATGAACGAAAAAGAAAATGAACGAATTTCTATGCCCCACAAATAACCCAGAGATGCATTTTAAATAAAAGGGCACATTCTACTCATGTAAAAACAATGCTGATTCCCAGACCGTCTGCGGGCTGGATTGAGAAGGCAATTGGGCCGGATCCAGCCCCCGGGCCTTAGTTTGCCTACCCATGGGCTAGGGCCTGGGAGAGACCAGGGTTTGAACCTCCACTCAGCCATGAAGCTCACTGGGTGCAACCTTCAGCCAGTCACTGCCTCTCTCGGCCTAACCAACCTCACAAGATTATTGTGGTGGGTTAAATGAGGAGAGGGCGAACCACCTCAAGCTCCTTGGAGAAAAGGTGGGGTATAAATGCAATATATAAGTGAAAAGACTGTCGGAAACATACTGAGGCAGACCAGTCCAGCACAGTATTGTGCTGAGGCTGTATTACAGGAGTTGGTGGGGTGGAAGCTGCAGCTTGCATTGGCCCCAGCCAGCATGGACAAAGGTCCGGGGTGCTGATAAGAGTTGACGTCTGCAGGGCCACACATCCTGCCCCCAACCCCTGCTGTAAAGAGCTGTGGGCATTGATCTCGCCTATTAAATCCTTGTAAACGAGGACGGATGAAGGTCGAAACACCTGTCTGGTGTGGTTTGCTGTGGAGGTCCTTCATAAGGGGTTGGGGGCCTCAGGTCCAGGGGCCAGGTGAGGCCCTCGAGGTCTCCATCTCTGGCCCTCAGGACTCTTCACACCACACCCTTCACTGCCACTGTCCAGGCAGGTAGAGAAGGGCCTGGACTCACGCCTGTAGACTTTTGCATAAATTGCTCCAGCCACTTTCGTCGCCTCTGGCTCCACCCACCACTGGCAGATGGCCCTCGGGAGGTTACCCAGAACAGAGTGTGGCCCTCAGGATGAAAAAGGTTCTCCACTCAACTTGAGAACTAGACTTGTTTGTTTTTATTACCCTGCTCTTTGGCCAAAATGGCTCCCGGGGCGACTTACATACAGTCAAAACAAGACGGTCCCTACCCGCAGGCTCACAATTAAAAAAAGACATGGCACACAAGGGGAAAGGACAGGGAGGGAAGAGGAAAATCAAAACTCAGACTCCTATTTCTGAACAGTTGTTCCTAGCTTCACCAGAGGAAGGAGGAGCTTTCAGCAGAGCCGATCTTGGCTTCGCAGCTCTCCCACAGAGGCAGTCGGAGGGAATGGAGCTTTTTGTCTTGAAGCCAATGTGTACGGCACCCCCGCCTGCCCCCAAGACTTCTGAAACTAATTTTTCTTCCATTTCTCCCCATGCCCCTGCAGCCCGACAGAACGGGAACGCACAGAACGTCTCATAAAGACCAAGCTGAGGGAAATCATGATGCAGAAAGATTTGGAGAACATCACGTCCAAGGAGGTGAGGAAAAGGAGGCTGGTGGGCTGCCCCCCCCCCCCCCAGATTGCTAAAGAGGGCAGGGAAGGCTGAGTGGGGTTTTCTCGGGGGGAGGGACACCTGGTTGCTGCAACCACATCCTTCAGTCCTATTCCCCATCCAGAGCTGCCAGCTGGAGTAGGGCACGCTGAATCTTTCAACTTCCCAAAAATGAGGGGCGCTAAAAGCTTGCAACATGACTTGGCAATTCAAAAGTTAGTTAGGTTAAAATAAGATAATTTAGTTTTGCTTGGTAGGTGGAATATGTGCAAAATGGCATAGAAATCATTAAAAATGATTGCCAAGTACTTGCAATTATATTATATATTAATCATTCTTTAGCATTACCTGACATTTTCAGAAGCCAAAATTAAAATTATTTGGTTTTCCAAAAGTAGTTTGTGTGCTTCTTCATCAAACGTAGACTTAGCAAGCTAAATGTTGTCCGGTCACAAAAAACCCCAGCAGATGTGAATTCCTCACACCCAAAAACGTATTTTAAGTGATGAATTTTGCAAAAAAAAAAAAAAAAAAAGGTTTCACTGTCTAAAATGACAAGCCCTACTGCTGGAGAGAGAAGGAATCCAGAGGCCAATTGCTGCCTTTTTACGGCTTTTGAGAGCCTGGGGGTCTGACCTTCTTGCTGTTGGAAGTCTGACCCAACCCTTGACTCTTGCGTCTTTTGTCTTCTGTGAGTCTGGCTGCTCCTTAAATGTTTTGTTTGATTCCAGGCAAATTTCATAGAATTTTACAATTGGAAAGGTACTCCAAGGGTCACCGAGAAATCCCAGCTAAAGAATCCTCGGCCGTTTCTCCTGGGGCCATAAGAGAAGGGAGGTGGGGGTCGGCTGAAGGGTACTGCTACCCCCCAGGGTGGGTGTTTGAGCGATGTAATAATGCACCGTCTCAAAGGCAGCCTCTTCCTCCTCTCTCCTCCCAAAGATCCGCACGGAGCTGGAGATGCAGATGGCCTGCAACTTGCGGGAGTTTAAGGAGTTCATTGATAACGAGATGATCGTCATCTTGGGCCAGATGGACAGCCCCACACAGATCTTTGACCACGTCTTCCTGGTAAGTGTTTTGGCACATGGCCACTAGGAAGGCTCACAAGCTGCTCAACTTGACCTGCTGTCATCCCCACCCTCTTAGAACGCCCCCCATCTGCTCTGCCATACAGACCTCCATCTCCTCCTCCTCCTCCTCCTCCTCCTCCTCCTCCTTCGTTGAATTTATATACTGCCCTATACCTGGGGTCTCAGGGCGGTTCACAGAGTAAAATCAAGATATAAAACCACAAAATACATAATAAGAATAAAAACAACCACCCAATAGCTCCCCCCATATGCAAATACACTTAAATCTGGGGTGCAGTCGGTGCAGATTACGCTGGAGCACAATAATATAAATTGAAAATAAGAAGAGTTTGGATTTGATATCCCGCCTTTCACTCCCTTTAAGGAGTCTCAAAGCAGCTAACATTCTCCTTTCCCTTCCTCCCCCACAACAAACACTCTGAGGTGAGTGGGGCTGAGAGACTTCAGAGAAGTGTGACTGGCCCAAGGTCACCCAGCAGCTGCAGGTGGAGGAGCGGGGAAGCAAACTCAATTCACCAGATTACGAGTCCACCGCTCTTAACCACTACACCACACTGGCTCTCAATAAAATAAAATAAAATAAAATGCTTCTTCCTTCTCACTGCTCCATCACAATTAAGCTTCGCCAGAGTTGCAGAACCCGGCTCTTATTTATAGAGACTGAGATGTCACGTAAGAACATCAGGCCAATGGCCCGTCTAGTCTTGCACCCTCCTCTCGCAAGGGCCAACCAGATGCTTGGATGAAGGCAGGAAGCAGTATCTGAGCACAAGAACAACACTCCCCTCCTGTGGCTTCAGAAGCTGGTAGTCCGAGGCATGGCCATCTCCAACAGTGGAGGCAGAGCGTGGCTGTTGTGGCTGGCAGCCATTGATAACCCTCGCTCCCTCCATGAATTTGTCTAATCCTCTTTTAAAGCCATCCTGTGGGAGGGAGTTCCACAGTTTAACTGTGCACTGCATGAAGGAAGTCATTTATCTGTCCTGAATCTTCCAATATTCATCTTCATTGGAGGTCTACGAGTTCTAATGCAATGAGATTGGGGGACGGGGACTGCCTACTGTGGGAGCGAGTACAGTGGTACCTCGGGTTACAGACGCTTCAGGTTACAGACTCCACTAACTCAGAAATACAGTGGTACCTCGGGTTAAGAACTTAATTCGTTCTGGAGGTCTGTTCTTAACCTGAAACTGTTCTTAACCTGAAGCGCCACTTTAGCTAATGGGGCCTCCCGCTGCTGCCCCACCACCAGAGCACGATTTCTGTTCTCATCCTGAAGCATATGTAACCTGAGGTACCACTGTAGCACCTTGGGTTAAGAACTTTGCTTCAGGATAAGAACAGAAATCATGTGCTGGTGGCGTGGCGGCAGCAGGGAGGCCCCATTAGTTTCAGGTTAAGAACGGACCTCCGGAACGAATTAAGTTCTTAACCCGAGGTACCACTGTACATGCATTTAAGTTGTTAAGTACGGTACATTTATTACATAAGCAAACCGAAAAGACCCTAGAGAGAGCAGAGAGTGCAGGCGAACCATCTCCTGCAAGGCAGATGTTTGGTATATCCCTGAATCCTTCTCGCCATCCCCGGGCCTGGAATTTCTGAGGTTACCGGAGCGTCCTGCCCACGCCCCTATTCTGGGAGAAAACAACAGGAACAAAGGTGCCCTGGGAAACCTTGAGAACAAACACAGGAAAGGCTTATTCAGGTCTGGCAGGTGGGATTCTGCTTCCAGTAAAGCCCGGGATGGCGATGCTCTGGGTGGAAGCATGTGATATCCCCAACCAAAGGGTCCTCCTCCTCTTTTCAAGCTGTGTAAACACTGGGCTACTGAAATGTTTGAGCTCGCCTGGTGCCAAGGCACGTCTCGCGAGGCTGCGCCGGCTGATGAGTCAGCAGCTCTGGGGCTTTCCCCACCCTCCCTCCTCTGGCCGGATGCACAGGCCAGGCATCAGTCAGCAGTTTTACGTGAGAAGACAGCTCACCTTTTCAGCCCTGACTCTCTCGGCGGAATCAAAAGTGGATAGAGGAATGTTCCCCCTCTTCTCTTGTAACGCGAGAACCCCTGGCGATCCAACAAAGCTGAATGTTGGAAGAAAAGAAAGTCCTTTTTTTGCGCAGCAGCTAGTTGAACTGTGGAACTCCCTGCTGCAGGGAGCCAACTTGGATGGCTTTGAAAGAGGATTGGACAAATTCATGGAGGAGAGGAGGGCTATTGATGGCTGCTGGCCAGAATGGCTCTTCTCTGCCCTCCACAGTCAGAGGCAGCGACCGCAGGAGGCAAGAGGAGTCAGGTCCTGCTTGCCATTTTCCCATTGGGGCGTCTGGTTGCCCACTTTGAGAACAGGATGCTGGACTAGTTGAGCCATTGGCCTGATCTATCAGGTCTCTTCTGGGGTTCCCTTCCCCTTTTCTGACACTCCCGTTTCCCAGCCAGGAGCCCTGGGTTCTTTGCCCAGTGCTGTTCACTCCACCTCCCACCCCCTGCTCCATTTGTACACCTTGCCGTGTTCTTGACGTGATTTGATTTCCCCCACCCTGTCTTCTCCCTTTGCGCAGGGTTCAGAGTGGAATGCCTCCAATCTGGAAGATCTGCAGAATAGAGGGTAAGTCCCAGAACGTGGCCTTGATGAAATGTCCTCCATCCCACCCAGCAGAGAGCAAAAGACCAGTGATGGCCCCCCAGTTCCACTTGGTTGCTTGGGGGGGGTGTCTTCAGACCAAGGCAGGGATAGCCAGAGTGGTGCCCTACAGCATCCATTGCCCCTGACTATTGACATCTGGGAGGACTCAGTTTGGGAGCCATTTCCTTCTCTGTGGCCTGTCTCGCCACTCCAGGAATCAGCTCTATCACTTTAACCCTTTGGCAGCGGACCCACAGCCCTCCATGTGCTGCTGAAATCCGACTCCCATCATCCCTGGCATTTGACCATGCTGCCTATAGGGGCTGCTGGGAATTGGAAGTCCATCAACATCTGTAGGGTCCTATGTTGGCTGCTGTGGACCAGAACAACAGTCAGGGGTCCGATGGCCGTGTGTTGGGGATTTATGAGCTGTGAGGGTGGGGATTAGATTACCCTTGGGGGTCTCTTTGACTCTACCATTCTATGATTCTTAGACATTTCTTAGGGGTGGAAAGGAATCTCCTCACCCCTGGTTTTTATTTTCTTTATTTTGCTAAACCTCAAGGAGTTCTTTCTTGTCCACTTTGTCCCTTGTTTTGGAAACACAACTGTGTGTGTGGGGTGTGTGTGTCTAACCAGCCTTATTGCCCTTTTGGCTTCAGGGTGCGGTACATTCTGAACGTCACCCGAGAAATCGACAACTTCTTCCCTGGCGTCTTTGAGTACCACAACATCCGTGTTTACGACGAGGAGGCAACAGATCTCCTGGCTTACTGGAACGACACCTACAAATTCATCTCCAAAGCAAAGCAAGTTCCCTTTTTATCTTAATATTAAAAGCGTGTCCGCATCCATATGGGCCTATAGCTAAAGATACTGGGTTGTATCCACCGCTAGACTTACAGTCTTTTTCTTTGGTGATCACTTGTAGCCGAGTAAGATTGTCTTCCATAAACAGGGTTTTAAAAGTGAGTCCGTAAGTGACTGTGGAGGCCAATTCTGGACCCACACGTCCTTCCGCAGTGGGGGCATGGGTTTCCAGGTGGGAGCTGATCACGGTGTGGATTTGCCAAGCGTGCCTTCCTCTTAGCACGTTTCTCCCTTGTGTCCTGAGTTTGAGTGTCTCCAAAGCCCATGACACCTTTGGCAAAGGCTGTTCTCCAACTGGAGTACTCGCAGGCCAGTGTTTCCAAGTTGTCAGTGTTTATACTGCATTTTTTTAGATTTGCCTTGAGACGGTCTTTGAACCTCTTTTGTTGACCACCAGCATTACGCTTTTAAGTTACCATTTTTAAGTTCGGAATAGAGTAGTTGCTTTGGCAGACGATAGTCGGGCATCCGCACAGCCTTTACAGTTAAAGCACTTTGATGCCCCGTTAAACTGTTGTGGCTCCCCCCAAAGAATCCTGGGAGCTGTAGTTTGTTGAGGGCACTGAGAGTTGTTAGGCGGCCCCCGATTTCCCTGCACAGAGCTACAATTTCCAGAGCGGTTTGGCAATCAATCCCTCTGCATAGGGAAGAATGGGAACTGTAGCTCCGGGAGGAGAATTGGGATGGGGGGGTGTTTCCTCTTAACAGCTCTCAGAACCCTTAAATAAGAATGAGATGAGCTTTCTGGATCAGGCGAAAGGGGGGCCATTGAATCCAGCCTCCTGTTCTCACTAGGGCTGACCAGATGCCCATTGTGGGAAGCCAGTAAGCGGGACCTGAGCACAAGAGCGACTGGGATTCAGAAGCATCGCTGCCTCTGACTGTGGAGCTAATATCCACCCATAGCCCTTGTCTCCATGAACTTGTCTAAATGTGCGAGTGTGAATGAGGCCTGCCAGTTTCAGAGGATCTACTCTGATGACCCATGGAGAGAGATACAGATACATATTGTGTGTATGTATGCGCACACACAAGGGACGCAGGTGGCGCTGTGGGTAAAAGCCTCAGCGCCTAGGGCTTGCCGATCGAAAGGTCGGCGGTTCGAATCCCTGCGGCGGGGTGCGCTCCCGTTGTTTGGTCCCAGCACCTGCCAACCTAGCAGTTCGAAAGCACCTCAAAGTGCAAGTAGATAAATAGGGACCGCTTTATAGCGGGAAGGTAAACGGCGTTTCCGTGTGCGGCTCTGGCTCGCCAGAGCAGCGATGTCACGCTGGCCACGTGACCCGGAAGTGTCTGCGGACAGCGCTGGCCCCCGGCCTCTTGAGTGAGATGGGCGCACAACCCCAGAGTCTGGCAAGACTGGCCCGTACGGGCAGGGGTACCTTTACCTTTACCTTTTTATGCGCACACACACAAAACACATATTGCCAAACTGGTGCTGAGGTGAGCTTTGGTCCACAACATCAATCAGGAGGGCACCAGCTTTGCAAGGTCTTGAGATATATATGGCATTTATTGATGCCGCCTGTGAAACACTCTCTCCCCAGCAAAGCCGTTTGAGTGATGACTCCGTTGGGAACTTGGGTAACCCTCCTCTCTCCCCCTCCCTTTCCCTTGATCGTCTTGCAGGAAGAACGGATCCAAGTGCCTGGTTCACTGCAAGATGGGGGTCAGCCGGTCAGCCTCCACGGTGATTGCCTACGCCATGAAGGAGTACGGCTGGAACCTCGACCGGGCCTACGACTACGTGAAGGAGCGCCGGACCGTCACCAAGCCCAACCCCAGCTTCATGCGGCAGCTAGAGGAGTATCAGGGCATCCTCCTGGCCAGGTGAGTCCGAAACAGACAAGACAGCACCTCAGCGTCCCTAACAATGGGCAACTGGGAGCCAGAGGGTGTTTCATGGAATGCCAGCATCTGGCTTCTTCTGAATTTCAGCTTTCACACACAGAAATGATATAAATCCTTGCTCTCTTCGATGCAAAGTTCAGGAAACTTTTGGAGCTGCATTAGTGCGGGCTCTCTGTGTGTATGTGTGTAAAAAAAGAGGCGGCATTTTGGAAGAGCACAAACGCATAGCTTTTAGCTTAGTTGAATATCTTTTTACCCCCCTTTTCTGCAAAAAAAAGTGAGAAATCAAAGCATTTTTTTTAATGGGATAAATTGCCAAAAAGATACGTTGGGATGCAGTGAAATCAGTTGTGGCGAAAACAAAGTCAGTAAGAACTGTTGGACATTGAAACCGATGGGGGAACTTGGGGGGGGGGGTGACCCTAGCAGGAATGAATTAAAATTTAGGTCATCTTTTAAAAAGCTTTTTAGCTGTGTGCACTCTGTGTGTTTGTGTGTGTGTGTGTGTGTGTGTGTGTTTTTCCCCCAAACAGCAAAACAACTTTGCTTTCTGGCTGGCTTTCGAGGGGCCTGTGTGTTTGTTTGTTTATGTGTTGCAGATTCCCCCAGCTTCCCCTTCCCCACCTTCTCAAGTTCCTTTTCTTATGCAAAACCGAAGGGGTTGTTTTTGTAACGAGAGACCCCCATCATCTGATTGGGAAAAGATGTCTCAATATGTCATGTGTCTGTGTTTTCCTTCTCCCCCCCCCCCCCTCCAACTGTACACATGTGTGTCCTCGGGTGACCTCCAGAGAGCGGAAAGAGAGAGAGACGGCTTGTCCTGCCAGAGGGATCCCAGCTCATGGCCACGTGGTTACCAGGTGGCCTTGCTGTGGATGTCGGGCCTTTTGAAAAGTGTGTGTGTGTGTGTGTGTGTGTGTGTGTTGGGGTGGCACATGGCAAGCAGGGGGAGCGGCTAGCAGCAGGTTATCTGCACCGACCCAAACTTCTTAATGTTTGGGAGGTGCTTGCAATGCAGACTCTACAGGGCCCATCCCAGAATCCCATCCAAAACAAACTTAACAAAACCCCAATACTTGGCAGTTGCTATAAACCACATTTCAAACATTCAAAGCCCTTTGCTCACAGTTATCTCGGCCCTGATCCTTGCGACAAGCCTGCAAAACAGGCCTGGGATCCTTGAGATGCATCCAACTACGCTCTACTCAAGAGTAGACCTGTTGGAGTTAATGGACCACAATCAATTGTGCCTGTTCTGTTCAGTGGGTCTACTCTTAGTAGGACTAAACGTTCTAATAAAAGCTTATCTCCCTATTGCACGCTGCGGCTGAGGCGTAGAAAACCAGTGGTTCTGAGGCTCACCAAAGTTTTCCTGAGCAATTTTATGACGGGATCCTGATCTGGACGAAGGGGTTTATTAACATGTGCTTTTGAAATCTGTATTAGGCGATGTCAAATTTGCTCCAAGAGTCAGAGGGGAGGGCTATTGATGGCTAAATTCTGCCTCCACAGGAAGAAATGCTTCTGAATACCAGCTGCTGGAAACCACAGGAGGGGAGAGTGTTGCTCTTGTGCTTGAATCCTGCTTGTGGGTTTTCCACGGGCATCTGGTTGGCTACTATGAGAACAGGATGCTGGACTAGATGGGCTACTGGCCTGATCCAGCAGGCTCTTCTTATGCTCTTAATGCCCTTTTCCCCCACCACCCCAAAAAACCAAAAACAGCAGGTGGATGTTTCCTCTCCAAATCATTGAGGTCAAGGAGGTGCTGGCATGGCATAATGCTTAGGTGTGGCATTATTTGGGCAAACATCATTCATCATCATCATCATCATCATCATAATTTATTATTTATACCCCGCCCATCTGGCTGGGTTTCCCCAGCCACTCTGGGTGGCTTCCAACAGAACACTAAAATACAATAACCTATTAAACATTAAAGGCTTCCCTAAACAGGGCTGCATTCAGATGTCTTCTAAAAGTTTGGTGGCAGTTTTTCTCTTTGACATCTGGTGGGAGGGCGTTCCACAGGGCGGGCGCCGCTACCGAGAAGGCCCTCCGACTGGTTCCCTGTAACTTGGCTTCTCGCAATGATGGAACCGCCAGAAGGCCCCTGGAGCTGGACCTCAGTGTCCGGGCAGAACAATGGAGGTGGAGACGCTCCTTCAGGTAAACTGAGGCCGTTTAGGGCTTTCAAGGTCAGCACCAACACTTTGAATTGTGCTCGGAAACATACTGGGAGTCAATGTAGGTCTTTCAAGACCGGTGTTATATGGTCTCGGCAGCCGCTCCCAGTCACCAGTCTAGCTGCCGCATTCTGGATTAGTTGTAGTTTCCGGGTCACCTTCCCAGGGATGTTTCCTTGTAATCTAAATAGCGAACAGGGGACGCTGCCTTCAAACCACAAAGGTGAATAGCGTAGAGGAACCTGACCTGGATATTTACCGAAGACCCACCAAGTCCGACATCCTGTTCTCACAGCGGCCAGCCCGATGCCCCAGTGCGAAGCCCCCCAAAGCAGTCTCCCCCCCCAACTCATGTTCCCCAGCAAGTGATAATCAAAGTTTATTTGTTTATTTCACAAAATGTGTGATTGTATTAAAAAAAACCCCTCAAAAGTGGTTTACAGAAAAACCAACAAAATCAATTAAAAAGATTAGCAGCCATAATTTAAGGCCGATACGTGCAGAAAATCATCAGCTGCCTCCACAGTAATTCAGTCACAAATTTGCAAGAGTGGAATATCGTATTTTGGGGTTCTTTCATGATTTAATATGTCATCTGTCAGTGTTCATGACCCGTGCGGGGTGTGCATGCATGCTTTAGTTCTCAAGAAGCGCAGATCAGGTTGTTGCAGATTGTAGAGGCTGCTTTGAGCACACAAATGGTAATTATTGTAAATATAATTGTGCTCTTACGGGAGGCAATATCTAGCCATTACAATGAGCAGCTGTTGACCAGCAGCTAGGAGTACTGTAGTCCAGAGAAACCACCTTGACCCCTGCCTTGCGGCCTTGTTTACCATCGCTGCCCACCCTGGGGCAGATCATTTGCTGATTCACATTCATATGATTGGCTCTTGGGTTTCAGAGCCTGACTGTGCAGGGAAGGTTGTGGTTCTTGGGTTACACCTTTGCCAGGGTGTGAGAGTGGGCTGTGGGGCCAGGGGGTTTTCCAGCAGCAACTGCTTTTTGATGCACTGTCAAGCCACATTCCCTCCCACCAGCAAGATCCTGCTCCTATTCTCTTGGACCTCCTTCCTCCCAAAACTCCCTGTCTCTTTTTCCCCTGCGCAAGTGGTGGGTTTTTCCTTAGAAACCTAACAAGAACTTCACAATAGACAGGCTGCTGGCTCAGACCAGTGACTCATGGAGCCGAGCATCCTGTTCTGGCAGTGACCAGCCAGGTGTCCTGACGGGAAGCTCCAAAACAGGAGCTGAGCGAAACAGCAGCAGTCATCCCGTTTGTGATTCTCAGCATATTCAGAGGCATAGTGCCTCCCACGGTAGAAGCAGATTGTAGCCACCTTGGCTAGTAACATTTGATAGCCTTATCGTCCCAAAAATTTGTCTAAGCCCCTTTAAAAGCCATCCATGCTGGTGGTATTATAATTAATTAAATTTGTGTACCTGTGTGTCTCAGGGTGGTCACAAAATAAAATCACAAAATGCATTATAAAAACAAAAACAACCCAATAATCTCCCCAAAGAAACCATTTTAAAGGGGCATGGAATGTCAAATCAGCCCAAGGTCTGGTTGAAGAGGAATCCTTTTGTCTGGTGCCTAAAGGTATATAATGAAGGTGCCAGGCAAACCTCTCTTGGGAAGAGCACTCCACAAATGGGGAGCCACTGCAGAAAAGGCCCCGTTCTCGTGTTGCTGCTCTCCGGACCTCTCGGACGCACTGTGTGAATAATTCCATCCTTTTCTCTGTCCTGAATCCTTTTGTCTGATGTTCCCAAGTTCTGGTATTATGGGGCAGGGAGAAAACATTGCATGTACTTCTATCAACTCCCCTTATTTGCCTTTACTTCTAACTCTAAAACCCCGGATATTTATAACTTCGGTGTTTCTCAACAAACCTGCCACAGTTAAAAGTTGAATCACATGGAAGTGATCCCGATCCTTGTGCCCCTCAGAACATGCCACATACTGGTGGTGGCCCTTGGAGGAGTGCGCCTGCTTGACATGCCTCCCCTCGGTCACCTCTCGCATGGCTATGTCAGGAGGGCTGCTACCCTCTCTGGAGCGCAGCAATTTCCACACATGAGAAGGGGAAGACGGAAGCAGCGTCCTTGGCTCTCTGGCTTTGGACAGAGTCCGTGCTCCCTCTAGGGGCCAGAGCTTGTAAGTTGTGGAGCAGACGGCACAAAACACCCGCAGCAGCCAGGCTGCTGCCCTTCTTCTCATCAGCTGCAACAACATGTTTTTGTTCCCTGGAAGAGAGCTGCCCTCCGTGTCCCCGGTGGCAGCGGCATGATTCTGGGAACAGGTGGCCGAGCAGGAACAAAACCAGCATCTGACCAGAGAGGGCAAGCGCCTGACTTGAGCATTGTGGTTGCAGAGCCCCTTTGCAGGGCAAAAAACAACCTCCTGGATCCCAACCCAATAGGCTATATTAGAACTTGAGAGCTGTTCCAACAGAATTGTGCAAGTCTGGTCCTCTGTCCGTCATCAGAGTTCAAGGGCACTTTTTCCAGTCAGGCAGAAACACTCAAGGAGGGGAGTGCCAAGCAGGGGCAGGAAGGGGGGGTGGCCTGGGGAGAGTGCTGAGGGCCAGATGGAGAGGGCTGCAGGGCCGCATTCAGCCCCCAGCCCTGAGGACCCCCCCCCTTTAATAGACACTGTTGATTTGTATGATACAGTGGAATCGCATGACTCTTGAGTCCTGGCTGTGCTTCCAGGAAGGGTGCTGTCAGCGGCAGGGGACCAGCTGTTCTCCAGAGTCCTCTTCCCAGCTCAACAGGTGTCCCTGCTTTTGCACAGAGTGAGTCAACACTGGCAATTTGCATAATACATGGAGGCCCCTTCATTCTTTGGGACAGAACTCTGGTTGTTTGGGGAGACCAGGAGAGCCGATTGCGGGCTAACCCCATCTCAAACGCAGCGCTTCCCTCCTCTCTCGCGAACTCTCCCCATGCTGCCTTTTCCCCTTTGTGCCTTTTGTCTGAGCGGCTTTCGAACCCAGTGCTGATTCTCTCCCCCTATCTCCTTCCCCGCAGTAAGCAGCGGCACAACAAGCTGTGGCGCTCGCACTCCGACAGCGACCTCTCCGACCACCACGAGCCCATGGGCAAGTCCGGGATGGAGGTGAGCAAGAAGGAGATCACCACGTCGGCGGACCAGATCTCGGAGAGCAAGACCTCCTGCGGCCACCACCACGTGCCCATGTCTCCTGGGCCCATGACCACCGGTCCGCACACGGAACATTTGTGCCATCTGGGCGCCGATGCCGCCGGGAACTTGTGCAGCATCGAGCGGGTGGTGCAGCTGGAGATCACCACGAGAGACTTCAATACTGAGCAGATGGAGGACAAGCTGAACTTGAACAACATCAACGGGTGCTCCTCCGGCTGCTGCTTGGACGACTCAAAGTTCCCCCTGGATAATTGCAATGCCTCGGATGCCCTGCTGCAGCAGCGAGAGGCCTTGGGGGCAGCGGCAGAGTTCCCGGACTTGGCAGTGGACGACTTGGAGAAGGACGCCCTCAAGCAAGGAGACGGGAACATCCACCTGGTGCCCATGGAAGAGCTGGAGTCTTGCTTGCAGGATGTCTCCAACCACAACTCGCCCAGCCCCCCTCCTGTGACCTCCTTGCCGGAGGACTTTGGCGCCGACCGGATCGACTTCTTCAGCGCCTTGGAGAAGTTTGTGGAGCTCTCTCAGGACAGCCGGCCACGGACTTGTTCCCACTCCAGGACGGAGGATCAGGGGGGCGGGAGGAACGGTCTCTCCAAAGTGTCGGGGCTGGAGCTGTCGCCCTCCAACCCCACAGAAGATGCTCAAGGAAGCAACTCCTCAGACAACTCACCGCAGCCGTCCGAGGGGTCCTCGGTGGAGGAGGAGCGGCTGAAGGTACGCGAGGCGGGCGGTGCTTTTCTGCTGAGTGTTTTGAAAATAGGAGCCCCTGCCAGAAGAGTCGAATATTGGGAGTGCAAGAGGGGGGTGAGGGAGCGAACAACATCGGAACAGTGGCAGGAAAGATCAGAATATTTATGGGGCTGGAACTAAGGCGAAGTGACCCACTCAGAGGCCATTGAAGTAGGGGGATTTCGGAGGGGGGCAGGTTACAGAACTCAGCAATGCTCTCCCCAATTCCTCATGCTACTGTCTGCCAAGTTTTAAGGTGTCCAGAATGACTTTGATGGGGCATTGTGAGGCTTCTGAATGTGGCAGCCAGCAGGGTGAGGAGCCCTGGGGATGCAGCGATGGAAGTTGGGCCCTACCCTCAGAATCCCATGCCATTTGTTTCCCCCTCCAAGTTAGAAAGGTGGTGAACTACAGAATAATTTTGTCAAAACGCTTGCTGAATGCTGGGAGCATTTTATTTGTAAAATTCTAACCCATTCTTCTTTTCTCTTAAATTTAAAGCTCTCTGAACCGAGCCGTTCAGGCAGCCTGACTCGTTCTCACTCTGAAAACGCCATCTCTGTGAAAGACATCATCACCGAGATCGAATCGATCCGCCAGGGGGCAGGGCAGGGACAGGCGAAGACGGACGCCTTGAACAATCCAGTCCTGGTGTCGAAGAGAAACACGGTCCATGAGCTCCCTGCCGAGTCAGCCTGGGAAAGCAAGCCTCGAAAAGCCGAGCCGGGCGAAGGCAGTGGCTCGGTCCTGAAGGAGGCGGCTAGCGAGCCTTCGAAACCGGAACGAGAAGCCGCTTCAGCCCAGCCGGTGCCTTCTTGTAAGCTGGATGTAGAAGACGGCGGCAACTCGGGAGAAGACTCTGCGGAGGGCCTTTCGAACCCTGGGCCCAAATGGTGTCCTGGATCGGTACGGCGTGCCACCCTGGAGTTTGAGGAGCGCCTGCGGCAAGAGCAGGAGCTGCAACACTCTACACCTGTGGTCCTGCTACCCATCCGGAAGAACTCCAGGATCGAATCCTCAGCGGTGGCTGACCCCGCGGCGAAGGGGAAGCCCGAAGAGCCATCTCACGAGCCGGCCCAGTTGTCTGGGGAGAAGGTAGCCTCAAGAGCTGGGGGCGCAGAGACTGGGGCTGGTTTGGAACAGCCCCCCGAAATGCCACCGGCGTCTTCTCCCCCACGAGATGGCCTGTTGGGAGAGCTGGAGGGGTTGGCCAGAGAGCACCGCTTGGTGGTTTCTCTGGAAATCCCGGACAGCCTCCCTGCCCCTGGCCTTCTGCTTCCGAAAAGGATTGAAATTATAGAGTACACCCACGCGGTCAGGTTGCCCAGCCCCACTGGGCTGGAAAGGGGCCACACGCGAGATGACTCGGAGGAAACCAAGGTGGCCACCACCTCGTTGGCGGTGGACGAAAACTGCAACGCTGCTTTGTGTTCCCAGAATCCCCCGGGAGCCTTGCCCAAGCCGGGGCCTTCCGAGCCAGAGAGCAAAGGACTTTAAGAAGGCCATTTTTACCTTGGGTAACCCTGGGGAAGATTCCGTCAGAGGGCCGGCCGACATGCGCACCTCTCCTGCGAGTCGGGCAAGGTGCCCCCCTCCGCCGCCCTCCAATCGCCAGCCCTTCGTCTGCTTGCAGGGGCCACTCAGGACAGCACAAGATCAGGTTTGTTGCAGATTGTAGAGGCTGCTTTGAGCACACAAATGGTAATTATTGTAAATATATATTGTGCTCTACGGGAGGCAATATCTAGCCATTACAATGAGCAGCTGTTGACCAGCAGCTAGGAGTACTGTAGTCCAGAGAAACACCTTGACCCCTGCCTTGCGGCCTGTTTACCATCGCTGCCCACCCTGGGGCAGATCATTTGCTGATTCACATTCATATGATTGGCTCTTGGGTTTCAGAGCCTGACTGTGCAGGGAAGGTTGTGTTCTTGGGTTACACCTTTGCCAGGGTGTGAGAGTGGGCTGTGGGCCAGGGGGTTTTCCAGCAGCAACTGCTTTTTGATGCACTGTCAAGCCACATTCCCTCCCACCAGCAAGATCCTGCTCCTATTCTCTTGGACCTCCTTCCTCCCAAAACTCCCTGTCTCTTTTTCCCCTGCGCAAGTGGTGGGTTTTTCCTTAGAAACCTAACAAGAACTTCACAATAGACAGGCTGCTGGCTCAGACCAGTGACTCATGGAGCCGAGCATCCTGTTCTGGCAGTGACCAGCAGGTGTCCTGACGGGAAGCTCCAAAACAGGAGCTGAGCGAAACAGCAGCAGTCATCCCGTTTTGATTCTCAGCATATTCAGAGGCATAGTGCCTCCCACGGTAGAAGCAGATTGTAGCCACCTTGGCTAGTAACTTTGATAGCTTATCGTCCCAAAAATTTGTCTAAGCCCCTTTAAAAGCCATCCATGCTGGTGGTATTATAATTAATTAAATTTGTGTACCTGTGTGTCTCAGGGTGGTCACAAAATAAAATCACAAAATGCATTATAAAAAACAAAACAACCCAATAATCTCCCAAAGAAACCATTTTAAAGGGCATGGAATGTCAAATCAGCCCAAGGTCTGGTTGAAGAGGAATCCTTTTGTCTGGTGCCTAAAGGTATATAATGAAGGTGCAGGCAAACCTCTCTTGGGAAGAGCACTCCACAAATGGGGAGCCACGGCAGAAAAGGCCCCGTTCTCGTGTTCTGCTCTCCGGACCTCTCGGACGCCACTGTGGTAATAATTCCATCCTTTCTCTGTCCTGAATCCTTTTGTCTGATGTTCCCAAGTTCTGGTATTATGGGGCAGGGAGAAAACATTGCATGTACTTCTATCAACTCCCTTATTTGCCTTTACTTCTAACTCTAAAACCCCGGATTATATAACTTCGGTGTTTCTCAACAAACCTGCCACAGTTAAAAGTTGAATCACATGGAAGTGATCCCGATCCTTGTGCCCCTCAGAACATGCCACATACTGGTGGTGGCCCTGGAGGAGTGCGCCTGCTTGACATGCCTCCCCTCGGTCACCTCTCGCATGGCTATGTCAGGAGGGCTGCTACCCTCTCTGGAGCGCAGCAATTTCCACACATGAGAAGGGGAAGACGGAAGCAGCGTCCTTGGCTCTCTGGCTTTGGACAGAGTCCGTGCTCCCTCTAGGGGCCAGAGCTTGTAAGTTGTGGAGCAGACGGCACAAAACACCCGCAGCAGCCAGGCTGCTGCCTTCTTCTCATCAGCTGCAACAACATGTTTTTGTTCCCTGGAGAGAAGCTGCCCTCCGTGTCCCCGGTGGCAGCGGCATGATTCTGGGAACAGGTGGCCGAGCAGGAACAAAACCAGCATCTGACCAGAGAGGGCAAGCGCCTGACTTGAGCATTGTGGTTGCAGAGAGCCCTTTGCAGGGCAAAAAACAACCTCCTGGATCCCAACCCAATAGGCTATATTAGAACTTGAGAGCTGTTCCAACAGAATTGTGCAAGTCTGGTCCTCTGTCCGTCATCAGAGTTCAAGGGCACTTTTTCCAGTCAGGCAGAAACACTCAAGGAGGGAGTGCCAAGCAGGGGCAGGAAGGGGGGTGGCCTGGGAGAGTGCTGAGGCCAGATGGAGAGGGCTGCAGGGCCGCATTCAGCCCCAGCCCTGAGGACCCCCCCCCTTTAATAGACACTGTTGATTTGTATGATACAGTGGAATCGCATGACTCTTGAGTCCTGGCTGTGCTTCCAGGAAGGGTGCTGTCAGCGGCAGGGGACCAGCTGTTCTCCAGAGTCCTCTTCCCAGCTCAACAGGTGTCCCTGCTTTTTGCACAGAGTGAGTCAACACTGGCAATTTGCATAATACATGGAGGCCCTTCATTCTTTGGGACAGAACTCTGGTTGTTTGGGGAGACCAGGAGAGCCGATTGCGGGCTAACCCCATCTCAAACGCAGCGCTTCCCTCCTCTCTCGCGAACTCTCCCATGCTGCCTTTTCCCCTTTGTGCCTTTTGTCTGAGCGGCTTTCGAACCCAGTGCTGATTCTCTCCCCCTATCTCCTTCCCCGCAGTAAGCAGCGGCACAACAAGCTGTGGCGCTCGCATCCGAAAATCAGTTGTGGCGAAAACAAAGTCAGTAAGAACTGTTGGACATTGAAACCGATGGGGGAACTTGGGGGGGGGGGTGACCCTAGCAGGAATGAATTAAAATTTAGGTCATCTTTTAAAAAGCTTTTTAGCTGTGTGCACTCTGTGTGTTTGTGTGTGTGTGTGTGTGTGTGTGTGTTTTCCCCCAAACAGCAAAACAACTTTGCTTTCTGGCTGGCTTTCGAGGGGCCTGTGTGTTTGTTTGTTTATGTGTTGCAGATTCCCCCAGCTTCCCCTTCCCACCTTCTCAAGTTCCTTTTCTTATGCAAAACCGAAGGGGTTGTTTTTGTAACGAGAGACCCCCATCATCTGATTGGGAAAAGATGTCTCAATATGTCATGTGTCTGTGTTTTCCTTCTCCCCCCCCCCCCTCCAACTGTACACATGTGTGTCCTCGGGTGACCTCCAGAGAGCGGAAAGAGAGAGAGACGGCTTGTCTGCCAGAGGGATCCCAGCTCATGGCCACGTGGTTACCAGGTGGCCTTGCTGTGGATGTCGGGCCTTTTGAAAAGTGTGTGTGTGTGTGTGTGTGTGTGTGTTGGGTGGCACATGGCAAGCAGGGGGAGCGGCTAGCAGCAGGTTATCTGCACCGACCCAAACTTCTTAATGTTTGGGAGGTGCTTGCAATGCAGACTCTACAGGGCCCATCCCAGAATCCCATCCAAAACAAACTTAACAAAACCCCAATACTTGGCAGTTGCTATAAACCACATTTCAAACATTCAAAGCCCTTTGCTCACAGTTATCTCGGCCCTGATCCTTGCGACAAGCCTGCAAAACAGGCCTGGGATCCTTGAGATGCATCCAACTACGCTCTACTCAAGAGTAGACCTGTTGGAGTTAATGGACCACAATCAATTGTGCCTGTTCTGTTCAGTGGGTCTACTCTTAGTAGGACTAAACGTTCTAATAAAAGCTTATCTCCCTATTGCACGCTGCGGCTGAGGCGTAGAAAACCAGTGGTTCTGAGGCTCACCAAAGTTTTCCTGAGCAATTTTATGACGGGATCCTGATCTGGACGAAGGGGTTTATTAACATGTGCTTTTGAAATCTGTATTAGGCGATGTCAAATTTGCTCCAAGAGTCAGAGGGGAGGGCTATTGATGGCTAAATTCTGCCTCCACAGGAAGAAATGCTTCTGAATACCAGCTGCTGGAAACCACAGGAGGGGAGAGTGTTGCTCTTGTGCTTGAATCCTGCTTGTGGGTTTTCCACGGGCATCTGGTTGGCTACTATGAGAACAGGATGCTGGACTAGATGGGCTACTGGCCTGATCCAGCAGGCTCTTCTTATGCTCTTAATGCCCTTTTCCCCCACCACCCCAAAAAACCAAAAACAGCAGGTGGATGTTTCCTCTCCAAATCATTGAGGTCAAGGAGGTGCTGGCATGGCATAATGCTTAGGTGTGGCATTATTTGGGCAAACATCATTCATCATCATCATCATCATCATCATAATTTATTATTTATACCCCGCCCATCTGGCTGGGTTTCCCCAGCCACTCTGGGTGGCTTCCAACAGAACACTAAAATACAATAACCTATTAAACATTAAAGGCTTCCCTAAACAGGGCTGCATTCAGATGTCTTCTAAAAGTTTGGTGGCAGTTTTTCTCTTTGACATCTGGTGGGAGGGCGTTCCACAGGGCGGGCGCCGCTACCGAGAAGGCCCTCCGACTGGTTCCCTGTAACTTGGCTTCTCGCAATGATGGAACCGCCAGAAGGCCCCTGGAGCTGGACCTCAGTGTCCGGGCAGAACAATGGAGGTGGAGACGCTCCTTCAGGTAAACTGAGGCCGTTTAGGGCTTTCAAGGTCAGCACCAACACTTTGAATTGTGCTCGGAAACATACTGGGAGTCAATGTAGGTCTTTCAAGACCGGTGTTATATGGTCTCGGCAGCCGCTCCCAGTCACCAGTCTAGCTGCCGCATTCTGGATTAGTTGTAGTTTCCGGGTCACCTTCCCAGGGATGTTTCCTTGTAATCTAAATAGCGAACAGGGGACGCTGCCTTCAAACCACAAAGGTGAATAGCGTAGAGGAACCTGACCTGGATATTTACCGAAGACCCACCAAGTCCGACATCCTGTTCTCACAGCGGCCAGCCCGATGCCCCAGTGCGAAGCCCCCCAAAGCAGTCTCCCCCCCCAACTCATGTTCCCCAGCAAGTGATAATCAAAGTTTATTTGTTTATTTCACAAAATGTGTGATTGTATTAAAAAAAACCCCTCAAAAGTGGTTTACAGAAAAACCAACAAAATCAATTAAAAAGATTAGCAGCCATAATTTAAGGCCGATACGTGCAGAAAATCATCAGCTGCCTCCACAGTAATTCAGTCACAAATTTGCAAGAGTGGAATATCGTATTTTGGGGTTCTTTCATGATTTAATATGTCATCTGTCAGTGTTCATGACCCGTGCGGGGTGTGCATGCATGCTTTAGTTCTCAAGAAGCGCAGATCAGGTTGTTGCAGATTGTAGAGGCTGCTTTGAGCACACAAATGGTAATTATTGTAAATATAATTGTGCTCTTACGGGAGGCAATATCTAGCCATTACAATGAGCAGCTGTTGACCAGCAGCTAGGAGTACTGTAGTCCAGAGAAACCACCTTGACCCCTGCCTTGCGGCCTTGTTTACCATCGCTGCCCACCCTGGGGCAGATCATTTGCTGATTCACATTCATATGATTGGCTCTTGGGTTTCAGAGCCTGACTGTGCAGGGAAGGTTGTGGTTCTTGGGTTACACCTTTGCCAGGGTGTGAGAGTGGGCTGTGGGGCCAGGGGGTTTTCCAGCAGCAACTGCTTTTTGATGCACTGTCAAGCCACATTCCCTCCCACCAGCAAGATCCTGCTCCTATTCTCTTGGACCTCCTTCCTCCCAAAACTCCCTGTCTCTTTTTCCCCTGCGCAAGTGGTGGGTTTTTCCTTAGAAACCTAACAAGAACTTCACAATAGACAGGCTGCTGGCTCAGACCAGTGACTCATGGAGCCGAGCATCCTGTTCTGGCAGTGACCAGCCAGGTGTCCTGACGGGAAGCTCCAAAACAGGAGCTGAGCGAAACAGCAGCAGTCATCCCGTTTGTGATTCTCAGCATATTCAGAGGCATAGTGCCTCCCACGGTAGAAGCAGATTGTAGCCACCTTGGCTAGTAACATTTGATAGCCTTATCGTCCCAAAAATTTGTCTAAGCCCCTTTAAAAGCCATCCATGCTGGTGGTATTATAATTAATTAAATTTGTGTACCTGTGTGTCTCAGGGTGGTCACAAAATAAAATCACAAAATGCATTATAAAAACAAAAACAACCCAATAATCTCCCCAAAGAAACCATTTTAAAGGGGCATGGAATGTCAAATCAGCCCAAGGTCTGGTTGAAGAGGAATCCTTTTGTCTGGTGCCTAAAGGTATATAATGAAGGTGCCAGGCAAACCTCTCTTGGGAAGAGCACTCCACAAATGGGGAGCCACTGCAGAAAAGGCCCCGTTCTCGTGTTGCTGCTCTCCGGACCTCTCGGACGCACTGTGTGAATAATTCCATCCTTTTCTCTGTCCTGAATCCTTTTGTCTGATGTTCCCAAGTTCTGGTATTATGGGGCAGGGAGAAAACATTGCATGTACTTCTATCAACTCCCCTTATTTGCCTTTACTTCTAACTCTAAAACCCCGGATATTTATAACTTCGGTGTTTCTCAACAAACCTGCCACAGTTAAAAGTTGAATCACATGGAAGTGATCCCGATCCTTGTGCCCCTCAGAACATGCCACATACTGGTGGTGGCCCTTGGAGGAGTGCGCCTGCTTGACATGCCTCCCCTCGGTCACCTCTCGCATGGCTATGTCAGGAGGGCTGCTACCCTCTCTGGAGCGCAGCAATTTCCACACATGAGAAGGGGAAGACGGAAGCAGCGTCCTTGGCTCTCTGGCTTTGGACAGAGTCCGTGCTCCCTCTAGGGGCCAGAGCTTGTAAGTTGTGGAGCAGACGGCACAAAACACCCGCAGCAGCCAGGCTGCTGCCCTTCTTCTCATCAGCTGCAACAACATGTTTTTGTTCCCTGGAAGAGAGCTGCCCTCCGTGTCCCCGGTGGCAGCGGCATGATTCTGGGAACAGGTGGCCGAGCAGGAACAAAACCAGCATCTGACCAGAGAGGGCAAGCGCCTGACTTGAGCATTGTGGTTGCAGAGCCCCTTTGCAGGGCAAAAAACAACCTCCTGGATCCCAACCCAATAGGCTATATTAGAACTTGAGAGCTGTTCCAACAGAATTGTGCAAGTCTGGTCCTCTGTCCGTCATCAGAGTTCAAGGGCACTTTTTCCAGTCAGGCAGAAACACTCAAGGAGGGGAGTGCCAAGCAGGGGCAGGAAGGGGGGGTGGCCTGGGGAGAGTGCTGAGGGCCAGATGGAGAGGGCTGCAGGGCCGCATTCAGCCCCCAGCCCTGAGGACCCCCCCCCCTTTAATAGACACTGTTGATTTGTATGATACAGTGGAATCGCATGACTCTTGAGTCCTGGCTGTGCTTCCAGGAAGGGTGCTGTCAGCGGCAGGGGACCAGCTGTTCTCCAGAGTCCTCTTCCCAGCTCAACAGGTGTCCCTGCTTTTGCACAGAGTGAGTCAACACTGGCAATTTGCATAATACATGGAGGCCCCTTCATTCTTTGGGACAGAACTCTGGTTGTTTGGGGAGACCAGGAGAGCCGATTGCGGGCTAACCCCATCTCAAACGCAGCGCTTCCCTCCTCTCTCGCGAACTCTCCCCATGCTGCCTTTTCCCCTTTGTGCCTTTTGTCTGAGCGGCTTTCGAACCCAGTGCTGATTCTCTCCCCCTATCTCCTTCCCCGCAGTAAGCAGCGGCACAACAAGCTGTGGCGCTCGCACTCCGACAGCGACCTCTCCGACCACCACGAGCCCATGGGCAAGTCCGGGATGGAGGTGAGCAAGAAGGAGATCACCACGTCGGCGGACCAGATCTCGGAGAGCAAGACCTCCTGCGGCCACCACCACGTGCCCATGTCTCCTGGGCCCATGACCACCGGTCCGCACACGGAACATTTGTGCCATCTGGGCGCCGATGCCGCCGGGAACTTGTGCAGCATCGAGCGGGTGGTGCAGCTGGAGATCACCACGAGAGACTTCAATACTGAGCAGATGGAGGACAAGCTGAACTTGAACAACATCAACGGGTGCTCCTCCGGCTGCTGCTTGGACGACTCAAAGTTCCCCCTGGATAATTGCAATGCCTCGGATGCCCTGCTGCAGCAGCGAGAGGCCTTGGGGGCAGCGGCAGAGTTCCCGGACTTGGCAGTGGACGACTTGGAGAAGGACGCCCTCAAGCAAGGAGACGGGAACATCCACCTGGTGCCCATGGAAGAGCTGGAGTCTTGCTTGCAGGATGTCTCCAACCACAACTCGCCCAGCCCCCCTCCTGTGACCTCCTTGCCGGAGGACTTTGGCGCCGACCGGATCGACTTCTTCAGCGCCTTGGAGAAGTTTGTGGAGCTCTCTCAGGACAGCCGGCCACGGACTTGTTCCCACTCCAGGACGGAGGATCAGGGGGGCGGGAGGAACGGTCTCTCCAAAGTGTCGGGGCTGGAGCTGTCGCCCTCCAACCCCACAGAAGATGCTCAAGGAAGCAACTCCTCAGACAACTCACCGCAGCCGTCCGAGGGGTCCTCGGTGGAGGAGGAGCGGCTGAAGGTACGCGAGGCGGGCGGTGCTTTTCTGCTGAGTGTTTTGAAAATAGGAGCCCCTGCCAGAAGAGTCGAATATTGGGAGTGCAAGAGGGGGGTGAGGGAGCGAACAACATCGGAACAGTGGCAGGAAAGATCAGAATATTTATGGGGCTGGAACTAAGGCGAAGTGACCCACTCAGAGGCCATTGAAGTAGGGGGATTTCGGAGGGGGGCAGGTTACAGAACTCAGCAATGCTCTCCCCAATTCCTCATGCTACTGTCTGCCAAGTTTTAAGGTGTCCAGAATGACTTTGATGGGGCATTGTGAGGCTTCTGAATGTGGCAGCCAGCAGGGTGAGGAGCCCTGGGGATGCAGCGATGGAAGTTGGGCCCTACCCTCAGAATCCCATGCCATTTGTTTCCCCCTCCAAGTTAGAAAGGTGGTGAACTACAGAATAATTTTGTCAAAACGCTTGCTGAATGCTGGGAGCATTTTATTTGTAAAATTCTAACCCATTCTTCTTTTCTCTTAAATTTAAAGCTCTCTGAACCGAGCCGTTCAGGCAGCCTGACTCGTTCTCACTCTGAAAACGCCATCTCTGTGAAAGACATCATCACCGAGATCGAATCGATCCGCCAGGGGGCAGGGCAGGGACAGGCGAAGACGGACGCCTTGAACAATCCAGTCCTGGTGTCGAAGAGAAACACGGTCCATGAGCTCCCTGCCGAGTCAGCCTGGGAAAGCAAGCCTCGAAAAGCCGAGCCGGGCGAAGGCAGTGGCTCGGTCCTGAAGGAGGCGGCTAGCGAGCCTTCGAAACCGGAACGAGAAGCCGCTTCAGCCCAGCCGGTGCCTTCTTGTAAGCTGGATGTAGAAGACGGCGGCAACTCGGGAGAAGACTCTGCGGAGGGCCTTTCGAACCCTGGGCCCAAATGGTGTCCTGGATCGGTACGGCGTGCCACCCTGGAGTTTGAGGAGCGCCTGCGGCAAGAGCAGGAGCTGCAACACTCTACACCTGTGGTCCTGCTACCCATCCGGAAGAACTCCAGGATCGAATCCTCAGCGGTGGCTGACCCCGCGGCGAAGGGGAAGCCCGAAGAGCCATCTCACGAGCCGGCCCAGTTGTCTGGGGAGAAGGTAGCCTCAAGAGCTGGGGGCGCAGAGACTGGGGCTGGTTTGGAACAGCCCCCCGAAATGCCACCGGCGTCTTCTCCCCCACGAGATGGCCTGTTGGGAGAGCTGGAGGGGTTGGCCAGAGAGCACCGCTTGGTGGTTTCTCTGGAAATCCCGGACAGCCTCCCTGCCCCTGGCCTTCTGCTTCCGAAAAGGATTGAAATTATAGAGTACACCCACGCGGTCAGGTTGCCCAGCCCCACTGGGCTGGAAAGGGGCCACACGCGAGATGACTCGGAGGAAACCAAGGTGGCCACCACCTCGTTGGCGGTGGACGAAAACTGCAACGCTGCTTTGTGTTCCCAGAATCCCCCGGGAGCCTTGCCCAAGCCGGGGCCTTCCGAGCCAGAGAGCAAGGACTTTAAGAAGGCCATTTTTACCTTGGGAAGCCCTGGGGAAGATGCTGTCAGAGGGCCGGCCGACATGCGCACCTCTCCTGCGAGTCGGGCAAGGTGCCCCCCTCCGCCGCCCTCCAGTCGCCAGCCCTTCGTCTGCTTGCAGGGGGTCACTCAGGACAGCACAAGCACCGACCCTGAGCCAGCCCCTCTGGGGGGATATGCTGGCAACGGACAGTTTGCCTTTGAGGAGAGGGGAGGTGCTCTGCGCCGGAGGAGCGAGAGCGCTTTGACACACTGGAGCCCAGAGGACTATGACCTACGCGCTCGTAAGGTGGGCATGGGTGCCAACACTGTGGGGGCTGCTGCCCCACCTCTCCTTCGCTGCGGCCTTCCTCACAGCTCCAGCAGTGACAACATCAGAGACCTGAGGGGGGACACCGTGAGGCAGTGGGCAAAGGACCTTGAGGCCCGGGTCCAGCAGGCAGGCCTCACGCTCCCTTCTCAGATGAAGCGCTCAGCGTCCCTGGCAAAGCTGGGCGGCCTGAACTTGTCAAAAGACGACTTGCCCTCGGGGAACCCCTTCCCTTCCAGCGCCAGGCCAGCCGCTCTGGAATCACTCCGGGGCTCCTCCGGCTGCGGGGAAGCACTCTCGCAGGGCGGCCTAGCTTTGCCAACGCCAGAACCTGCCCCGTCGTCGTTGCCCGCCCCCCAGCCCACAGCGCATTTTGTCGAGCAGCTCAAGATGGCGGCCGAGTCCATCGCCCTCAGCAGCCCCGTGGAGAGGCCTCTGGCGCAGTATGCCAAAGAGTTCAGCCTAACCCAGCAGCTTCCGGGTGCGAAATTGACTAGCCCCCCAGAGGCCCCGCTGCCAGGGCTGGCGACGACGCCCCACCCGCCCCACTGGTTGGCTGTGCTCCCCCGGCCCCAGCATGGTAGAACTCGACCGCCCAGAAGGCTGAGAAAGACAAATGACAGGAAACGAACCACCAACCCGTTGTACAACACCATGTGAACTCCAGCCCTCTCTCTCCCCCCTCTCCTCCCCCCACAACAACTTGACTTATTTTGCAACACCCTCGTCGTGTTTTCTCCAAATGGGGCAGATGTAATATATATTGAAACATGCACTTTATTGGTTTAATTTTTATATGTTCGTTATTTTTACTGTTTCTGTTGCATGTGGGTTTTGAGGTGGCTGGTTTTCATGGTTCTCCCCATCCCACCCCCTGTGCAAATGACTGCAAGATCACAATTTCCCCCCTTAATTTAAAAAAAAAATGTTTTAAACCCTTAACGAACCTCAACACTTAATTATTTTTTTGGTCTTAAAAGAACACCCCTCCTTTAAAACAAAAGAGAGAAGGGAAGAAAAATATTTAAATGCTCTCTTTCATTGGGCCAAAAGAAAGATGCGCTTTTATTGTTTTAAAAGAATTACGGATTTTGTGGGAGATGGGGTTGCAGAAGGAAGAAAGGAAGACAGGAGGGAAAGAAAGACCATTGGGAGGGAAAGGAAGACCATTGGGAGTGAGGGGTGTTCTCTTAAAACAAACTTCATTCTTTTTTAGGGGTTTAACCCTTTCATTACTTGAATAAAGCTGTGGGCCTTTTCAAGAATATGGCCATATCATCTGTTTCCTTTCTCCTCTTCCACCCCAGCCCCCCTTCTTGGTTCCCCTTCCTCCTCCTTCCCCAGTCCTGAAATTGCCTAGCCTTTTCTCCCTGCTCTGTCTGATACAATCCAGAAGCTGACTAGTTTATACAAATATATACCCCCACCCTTTGTGTTCTTCTCCATCATTCCCTGACGCTTCTTGCAGAAAGGCTTGTGTCTCTTACATTGTACATAACAGTGCTCATGTAGATAAATCATGGGGTGGGGCAGCGGCATCTTTTCGTTTTGGTCCCAGAGGAAAGGGGCGATGAGGCATCTCTTCTGCAAACTGGAAAACAGATTTGCCTATTTAACATCGTTTTCTCTGCGGTTAACCAGTGGCAAATCTGCAGACACTTTCTGGAACGGGCTTAACTCCTTTTCCCTTTTCTCTGACACTTGCCTCTCTTCCGTTATTTCTTTCTTTAAAAGGTGATTATTTCTGTCAGCTTGTGCCAAATGTATGCATGTTTCTCTCTCTCTGAAAAGCAAAGAAAACCTTCAGCTTGCATGATCCTCTTGTTCCCAATGCGTTGTCTACAAGGCACAACTGTCCGGTGTTTTAGCAAGGACATCTGTTGGCACTGCGCGCCAATGCACTCCCCGTCTTGTGCACACGTGTGCCGTTACGTTATATTTTTTCTGGAGATCAGGGTTTCGGGTTTTTTAAATGTCCTCAATAACACGCCCCAGTTGTGCCGAGTTCTGTGCTGCGCCAAGACCTTGTGTGTCAAACTGTGGTCCCAAACTAGCGTCTCTAAATTTCCATGTTTTTATGGAGAAGTCATTTGACACCTCCCATCTTCTGATGCACCCAGGAATCTTTGCAGGAATAGAATAATAACCCTGCTTCCTAATGAGAAAGAAGTAGGCCGTTTTAACACCTTCTCTTAGGAGAACAGCTGCCAGGCAGGCTGGCGAATGCTGCAGTATAGGAGAATATCATGAAAAGATATATTTTTTTGGGGGGGGGTGCTTTTCCTGCAGGTAAGAGAGAAAGGAGACCCCTAAAACTAGCCGGGGGAACTTGTTGCCAGTCAAATATCCCTTCCAAAGTGGAAAGTGGCTGCTATCATCACTGCATGTTGACATTTGCCTTGATTCTTTTTTAAAGCCTCAGCAAAGATGGATGCTTCTCAAATGTGAGAGAATCGTCTGTGACTAAATTCCAGGCAGATTTACTTTATTTTTTTCAGACCTCACAGGGGTGTTGAGGAGTGTGTGTGTGCCTGCCTCCCTCTTAGACTTCCTCTTCCTCGTCCCCTTTCCCCACTGCAGGTCCAGGCCTCTTGTGAACTTTGCAAAACGGAGGGTTCTGTAAGCGTAAGATGTTTTGCCCTGATCTTTTGCTGAGCAATTCTCCCGGAAATCGGGATTTTGCGAAGTGTCTTTCTGATGACTTCTCTGCCAGAGCCCCAAGTCGGACTAGGAGCTATTTTACCTTCCATTGCTTTCAGAATCCAGGGTTGGCATTGAGGCCTCTTCCGGAAGCCAAATCTGTGCCTTCTATCTCATCTCTGCCAGGGGTTTTGCTGTTGTTGTTGGGGGGTATCCCCCCATCTCTGTCCCCCTCTTAATATTAAACCCCTGCTCTTCAACTTTGCACTCCGTGACCGATCCCAAACTGCCACGTTTATCAAAACTGGATTGCTGAAATGAATCGTAGCTGTTGGCGAGTTTTGTTCTTCTGTATGCAGATCTGCTTGTGGGAAGAAAAATAACTATACCATTGGTTCAAAGCATGGCTGTTTGTTTGTTTCTCTGTTTTAGAAGAAAAAGGGCATTTTCATTCTTACTCCAATGTATAAAGTTGTTGTTTTCTTTCAGGGCGTCTTCCCCTCTTTCTCCCCCCCCCCATTTTTTCGGGGGGGGGGGTTGCCCTGTGAATGTCAAAAATGTTCAGCATCATCTCAGCAGCAACTCTCCCCTCTCCCAGTTTCCAGCTCTTTGACCTAGCTGTCTACTGTGAGCTTTTGTTGAGCCTTGCACAAAGAGAGGGGTGTGGAGATCTGGGTGGGTGTTTCTGTGAGTGTGAGTGTGTGTGTGTGTGTGTGTGTGTGTTTTGAGTCCTTGCTGATTCTGTATGTGGACAAAACAGATCTATATAAATATATATAATATTTTCTGTACCATGCCTTCAGCTGAGTCTTTAGCCCCCTCCCCGTATCTCCCAGTGTCAGCTGGCTCTCTCTTTCTCTCTCTCTGTGTGTGTGTGTGTCAAACCCACCTGGCTTGTAAGAGAATGATTTCACCCTAAACCGCAAAACTGGCAAACCACCACTCCTTTTGTTTATTTTCTTTAAATTGGCAGGATGGGAGTTCTGTCTTCCTTTGATGCCTCTCCCCTTTCTGGGGGCTTTGCTTTTTCCTCCCCCTTCTGCCCCCCAACCAACCAAACTCAGCCTTGGATGGATCTCTCCCCCATCCACAAAAAGTTGCCATCTCGACACGCTTGTCCAGAGCCAAAGGGCTAAAGCTGGGGGAAATCACTCTGCTTAACTCTCCAAGTCGCCATTAGATGCCCCCTTTGGAGTGATGCTACTCCCCCCCCCAAATGGCTTGTGTTGGGGAATATCCCTTCAAACCTCAAAGGAGGCCACCAAACAGGGGAGACCCCCCACACACACACCTGCCGCTTTCTTGATTTCCCAGCCCAGGTTAAACTCTGGCTGTTGAAATGGGCTGTGCCTACTGGAATAGCAAGCCCTGTTGTGGAATCCAAATATCCATGTTTCGCACTGATAGCAGGCCTTGGTGCCTTTTTTGGGGGGGGTGGGGGAGCTGTCTTTAAAGCTTTCTCAGCCACTTCCGGTCATGAGTTTGGCAAGAGCGTTGTGGCCTCTTGTCTTGATCCATCTCTCGCTCTAAACACAGCCCTTTCCTACGGTGATTGTGGCTGTGGGTCTCTTTCGCAAATTTGGAGCCCTCCTGCAATGTCTTGGGGAGAAACGCCTCCTTTTATTGCTGGTCTTCTTTTCTTTTCTTTCTTTTTTACATATCCTCCCCCTGCCCCTTGACCTTTGCTCTCCACCCACCCAAGAGTGGCTTGTACCATAGACTTTTGCCCGACAAAGGTGTTCGGCTGTTTTTAAATGTGAACTACTGCGTTTTCAGGGTGCGGATTCAACGTTCTTGTTACTGAATAAATTTTTATTTTGAGAATCGAGCGTGTCTTGTCTGAATCGGGTTGCAAAGGGGGGGGGGTTCATCAGTGGGCCACGAAGGAAAGTCAGGAGCCTGGGTCAGCAGCAGCAGCAGGGGCAGGCCCCTTAAAATTGCAGGTACCACCTAACACCAACATTTGTAAGTACTCAGGTCTTTTAGTGTGGCAGCCCCTTCACTGTTCTCTTCTCAGCACCTGCTAATAACATTCTTCTTTACACAAGCCTACCTAGATGTTTAGGAAGTTGAAGCAAGTTTCAATCCGGTTTTAGTCTATTATTATAAATTTTTATTTCTTGTTTCATTATTCTTGTTAATTTTTCTTGCTTTACTATTTCTGTCAACCACTTTGTGGTTGTTGTGGTTGTTTTTAACAGTCGAGGGGTGTATTTATGAAATAAATTATGTAAACCACTTGGTGAGGTCCACCTGAAAAGCAATATATCAATAATGTAAATAAATAAAATAAATTTTATTTATTTCATAAAATCTGGTATATTGGCTGATTGTAAATAAAAAAGCAAGACCTCAGAGTGGTTTACAGAGGGAAGGGGGGGGCAGATGGGGCTGGGCAACCTGCAGAGGGAGACTCTGATCCTAAACCTCCTCTGTCTTATGCAATCTCTTTGGGAGAAGAAAAGGCTAAGGAGTAAACTCCACAAAGCAGGAGTGGTTAGATGGCGCCTTGTAGGCCTTCTTCCTGCGGCCCAGCTGGTGCCAGACATCTTGCTCTGCTTTCCTTTGGACCACATCAGCGAGGTCGAGAGGGGGGTCTTGTCGTCTGGGCAGCCCAGGACCCCCAAACTTGTGTCCTGGAGAGGTCACTTTGGTGAAGCAGTCTTACTCCCCACCCACCCCAGGTACACTCCATTGTCTCTTTAGACAGATGCGAGGCCAACATCAGCTACACTGAGAGATCAGTTGGGTTACCCTTGAAATACTTCCGTTCATAGAATTGGAGTGGCTAAGAAGTGTAACAAATGGGGGGGGGTTGCTCCATTTTTACTTGCACTTACTCTTGTGCAAGAAGTGTTTTATACAGCAGCCATCTTCCTGTCAAAGTGTTTGAGGCAGTTGGCATAATTTTACAAGCGGTCCCGGTGTACAGCTCTCCGCGGTGGGGGAGGGGATGGATTCCATGCTAGGGAGCGTAAAATCATAGAATTTTAGAGTTGGAAGGGATCCCTGAGAGCCAGTGTGGTGTAGTGGTTAAGAGCGGTAGTCTCGTAATCTGGGGAACCGGGTTCGCGTCTCTGCTCCTCCACCTGCAGCTGCTGGGTGACCTTGGGCCAGTCACACTTCTCTGAAGTCTCTCAGCCCCACTCACCTCACAGAGTGTTTGTTGTGGGGAAGGAAGGGAAAGGAGAATGTTAGCTGCTTTGAGATTCCTTAAAGGGAGTGAAAGGCGGGATATCAAATCCAAACTCTTCTTCTTCTTCACCTAGTCAAACTTGGCCCTCCAGCTGTTTTGGGACTACAGTTCCCATCATCCCTGACCACTGGTCCTGTTAGCTAGGGATGATGGGAGTTGTAGTCCAAAAAACAGCTGGAGAGCCAAATGTGGCCATCAATCCCCTGCAATGCAGGAATTGCAGCTGAGGAATCCCAGGCAGGTGGCTATTCAACCTCTGTTTAACGCCTCCAATGGAGGAGAGTCCAGTGGTTAGGAAAGGGACTGAATTTTTAAAATAAAATAAAAAATGGGAATAAATGACTGTTTGCCACATCTCAAAAAAAGGATTCCGCAGAGCTGCGAATGTGTAACCCAAAATGATAGCAACCACCCCTTGCAAAGACAGGTTGGTTTTTTTATTATTCCCTCCCCCCCATTTTTTTACACATACCCGCTTTCACACGAGAAACCAAATTTTGTTTTCAGGAACAGTGGGCAGGGGATCGCTGAGGATATTCTCTGCATCCCTGGGCAGGAAGGAAATGCTGGGTGCTAACGATGCTTTTGAATTCTGGTGCTGGAGGAGACGAGTCCCATGGACTGCAAGAAGATCAAACCTCTCCATTCTGAAGGAAATCAGCCCTGAGTGCTCACTGGAAGGCAAACTCACTGGAAGGCAAAGTGCTCATGGGTAGGCAAACTAAGGCCCGGAGGCTGGATCCAGCCCAATCGCCTCCCAAATCTGGACCACAGACCGGGAATCAGCATGTTTTTACATGAATAGAATGTGTCCTTTTATTTAAAATGCATCTGTGGGTTATTTGTGGGGCATAGAAATTTGTTCATTTTCCCCCCTCCAAAATCTAGTCCGGCCCCCCACAAGGTCTGAGGGACAGTGGACCGGCCCCTGCTGAAAAAGTTTGCTGACCCCTAGGACAGATCCTGAAGCTGAGGCTCCAATACTTTGGCCACCTCATGAGAAGAGAAGACTCCTTGGGAAAGACCCTGATGTTAGGAAAGACTGAGGGCACAAGGAAAAGGGGACGACAGAGGATGAGATGGTTGGACAGTGTTCTCAAAGCTACCAGCATGAGTTTGACCAAATTGCGGGAGGCAGTGGAAGACAGGAGTGCCTGGCATGCTGTGGTCCAGGGGGTCACGAAGAGGCGGACACGAGAAGAGGAGGTTAAGGGGTGATATGATAGCCATGTTCAAATATATAAAAGGATGTCACATAGAGGAGGGAGAAAGGCTGTTTTCTGCTGCTCCAGAGAAGCGGACACGGAGCAATGGATCCAAACTACAAGAAAGAAGATTCCACCTAAACATTAGGAAGAACTTCCTGACAGTAAGAGCTGTTCGACAGTGGAATTTGCTGCCAAGGAGTGTGGTTGAGTCTCCTTCTTTGGAGGTCTTTAAGCAGAGGCTTGACAACCATATGTCAGGAGTGCTCTGATGGTGTTTCCTGCTTGGCAGGGGGTTGGACTCGATGGCCCTTGTGGTCTCTTCCAACTCTATGATTCTATGATTCTACGACTAAACAACAAAGCAACCAATCTGTATTTGGCAAATACCTTTATGCAATAGCAAAAGTTGTCCAGCAGAGGGCCTGCAGCCTATAACTATGCCCCATGACATCATAGCACAGGGGGTCCTAAACATTGTCGGGAGCCTGCACCCCTGGTTCCATAAACTCACTCCCAGTCCTCCTTACCCTACCCTTTAAAAAGCATTATTCGGAACAAGGGACATGGGTGGCACTCTGGGTTAAACCACAGATCCTAGGACTTGCCAATCCGAAGGTCGGCAATTCGAATCCCCGCAACAGGGTGAGCTCCCGTTGCTCAGTCCCTGCTCCTGCCAACCTAGCAGTTCGAAAGCACGTCAAAGTGCAAGTAGATAAATAGGTACCACTCCGGCGGGAAGGTAAACGGCATTTCCGTGCGCTGCTCTGGTTCGCCAGAAGCGGCTTAGTCATGCTGGCCCACATGACCCGGAAGCTGTAGGCCGGCTCTCTTGGCCAATAAAGTGAGATGAGCGTTGCAACCCCAGAGTCGGCCACGACTAGACCTAATGGTCAGGGGTCCCTTTACCTTTACCTTTTACCTTGCCCAACCCACTAAGGCAGATAATAACACAAATAAAATTCAAAACAGACACAGCCAATTGCATTGTTTTGAACGTTTATTGAAAATCCAGTTAAAACTATTTAGTTTAATGGTTATTGGCGCCTGTCTGTCTCGGGAGACAATGGAGGAGTTTGCCTTTGGGGGTGAAGTCAAACTGTTGGCAGGTTGCAGCGCCTGCTGTGGCTGTAGAAACCAGTAAGGGAGAGAAGTTTCATTGCAATTTCCACAAAGAACATGGGGGGAATCCGTTAGGCAAAATTTGTCTGGAGGCTTTTCCTGGGGATAAGAAGAGGAACCCGCAATACCACCAGCAACCCCCCCCCAAATCAGAACACAATACAGTGGTACCTCGGGTTACAGACACTTCAAGTTACAGACGCTTCAGGTTACAGACTCTGCTAACACAGAAATAGTACCTTGGGTTAAGAACTTTGCTTCAGAATGAGAACAGAAATCGGGCTCCGGCAGCAGGAGACCGCATTAGCTAAAGCGGTGCTTCAGGTTAAGAACAGTTTCAGGTTAAGAACGGACCTCCAGAACAAATTAAGTTCTTAACCCGAGGTACCACTGTACTTGGATGCTGCTCTTGCATAGAAAGGAAACTTTTTCACTTTGTAGCAAACAGTAATGTAATTGTGTTACTCCATTTAATATTTTTTAAAAAAAACACCAGCTGATGGAAAAGACAACTACCAAGCAGAGCTGCTGCCAGTCAGAGTAAGTAATATGGAGCTAGGTGGCCCACAAGGGACAAGTTGCTTGTGGGCTGCCTAGCTCCATATTACCAATGGAGTGTCAGAGTTTAGATCCCTGCTCACCCATGAAGCTCACTGGGCAGCACTGCTCTAGTCACTGTCTCTCAGCTGCTTAACCTACCATACAGGGTTGTTGTGAGGGCAAAATGGGCTGGAGAACTATGTACACCACCTTGAGCTCATTTGAGGAAGGTGGGGTATAAATGTGATAAATAAATAAGGACCATTTACCAGTTACCATAAGGTAACTGGACCATTAGGTCCAGTCGTGGCTGACTCTGGGGTTGCGGCGCTCATCTCGCTTTATTGGCCGAGGGAGGCGGCGTACAGCTTCCGGGTCGTGTGGCCAGCAGAACTAAGCCGCTTCTGGCGAGCCCAAGCAGCGCACGGAAACACCGTTTACCTTCCCGCTGGAGTGGTACCTATTTATCTACTTGCACTTTGATGTGCTTTCGAACTGCTAGGTTGGCAGGCGCAGGGACCGAGCAACGGGAGCTCACCCCGTCACGGGGATTTGAACCGCCGACCTTCTGATCAGCAAGTCCTAGGCTCTGTGGTTTAACCCACAGCACCACCCTGATAAATAAGCAGCTTTAAATGTGTCCTCTGGGTTCACACGGGGCAACACCAACTAATGGTTACAGTGAGGCTGAAGGTGAGTATATCAAGCATTTAAAATGTTTCCAGCCCATCTCTGTACAGAGTGCTTACCCACCACCTGCCCCTCCTTTCTCTCCCAATAAATTAAACCTCAGCACTACCAGATGGGACCTATTTGACATGCACATACATTTAAAACGTTGTTGTTTTTTTTAAAAAAATGCATTATATATCTTCATGGATGTACCGAACCTTGCAGTGTCTGGAGGACAGGCTAAAAAAGAGAAGGTGTTAAATAAACAAAAAAACAGATGTAGCTGAAGAATTAAAAAAATAAATAAATTCACAACACAAGGGGAAAGCAACAGGGTGGGAAGAGGAAAAACCCAAACTCTGGTGTCAATTCTGAAACAGTTACAGTATTAGAATAACTAGTCGGCGCAATTCCATTATGTCTGTGAGGTTTAGTCTGAGCAATCCTGCTTGCCCACGGCGCCTGTGCCTACAAATCCTTAGTGAGCGCCCAGTGGAACCTTCCCATCCAGTCGCAGTCTATCTTCGAAGGCAAAGAAGGCAGGAGAGAGAGAGCGCTCTGCCTTCATGCCCTTTTGCAAACGGGGGGCTGCGATACAGCCTTCTGCTTGCTCACCCAACGGGGCTTGCTTTTAAAAAGAGAAATTATCACACCCCCGGGAGCTGTATTAAAAAGGGGAGGGGGGTCTCTCCTCTCCCTTGCCAGATGCCCTTTCCAGGGCTTGGCTGGGCCTCTGGAGGCGGCCGCCCATTCCCCAAGGAGGGGGGCTCGCAGCTGTCGCCCCCTCCCTCGCTGGGGCGGGGGGGGGAGAGAAGCGAGCGCTGGAGACCTGAGATGGTGGCGGCAGCGGCGGCGGCCGCAGTAGCAGCAGCAGCAGCTGCTCTTCCCTCCAGCCGCATTGAGGCCCCTGCGCCAGGCGCTGCGTGCCAGCCCGCCCGCCCCGGAGGACGCCACCCAGCTTGGCAGCGCCCGGACGGAGCGAGCAGAGAGTCCCCAGGCCCCGGGACGGCGCCCCGCTTCCTCCTCCTCCTCCTCCCGCGCCCCCGATCCCTGGAAGTCTAGGTAAGGCGCAGGACGCCCCCCTCCCAACCTCCCCAAACGCCGTGCGCCCTTGGAGAGACCTGGGCGCAGGTGCGTAAAATGGAGAGGGAAGGGGGGCCCTTTCTTTCCTTCCGCCCCCCAAAAAACTGCAGGCTGCTCAGCAGACGGGCCATCCGTGCACACGGGAAGGAAGCTCTTCTGGCTTGCTTGCCCCCCCCCGCCAGCCAGGCCCCCCCAATATCCCCTCCCCCCTCCGCTCCAAACCCAGAGCCGCCGCAGAAGCCAGGCTATATTAGGAAAGTGACCTCTGGGGTTTGCCTTGCAGAGCGCCTCGCCTTCTATAGCCGCCGCAGCGCCGGGGAGGAGTTCCGGCTTCGACCCTTTTTGCCGCCTTCTCCGAGGGCCCATTGAAAAAAAACACCCGGTGGCTTCCCTGGAAAGGAGCGCTTCCTCTTCGCCCCCACCCTCCCGGAGCCCCGGAGCGGGTTTCGTCTTCGCGCAGAGGTCCTTGGGGGGGCTTTCTTCTTCCACCTTTCTGCCTGCACCTCCTGCGCGTTCACACGATCAGGTGAATGCGTGAACGCGTTTCCCGTGCATGATGCCAAGACTGTCGAGTTCGATACCCGTGCCTGTGCTTTGCATGACCCACCGCGTGTGTGTGAGTTAATAACTACTTAGGCCTGTACCCAACTAAACGGACCCATTTAAATTGGTGGGTTTGTCTCTGTGTGTATTCCACCCCCATTCGCCCCATTGATTTTATTCACTGTCTGTCTCTCCGCCTGCCTTGTAATCTTTTTTTCTATGCCACGTTTAAACTTTAGAGATTTCGTGGTATGTAAATAGCCAAAGGAAACAAATAAAAGAAATTAAGTTAGGTACTCATGTTTGCTTTTTGTGGGTCTTAGTGTGGCTTAACGTGCCCTAATTTAGGGCTGGAGGTCATCTGCGGATCTTGCTGGGCTCCTAAACCCCCAGCAGCCAGCATCTTCGGTCTTAAGAATCGATAGCGAGATGGGCGCTTGCCACAAGGGGGGACACAGGCATTCCCCAGCCCTGCCCCATTGAGACTTACAACGTTTTAAACACACCCCACTGCTCTCCTGTTCTCTCCCTCCTTGCAATGTTCAATTTCAGATTGTAACACCCATGCATGCTGATGGCGCTGCCTAAGAAAGTGTGTGTGTGTGTGTGTGTGTGTGTGTGTGTGTGTGTGTGTAAACATAGGAACAGCAAGTGGATATCTAGGAACTGACATCGAATCATAGAATTTGGAGGTCTATGATTAAAGACCTTTGGAGGTCTTTAAGCAGAGGCTTGACAACCATATGTCAGGAGTTCTCTGATGGTGTTTCCTGCTTGGCAGGGGGTTGGACTCGATGGCCCTTGGGGTCTATTCCAACTCTATGATTCTATGATTCTAATTGTAGAGTTGGAAGGGGTCTTGGGAGTCATCTAGTCCGCCCCCTGCAATGCAGGAATCTCTGCTAAAGCATCCGTGATAGAGAGCCATCCGACTTCTGCTTAAAGAAGTTTTTAATATGGTTTTATATACACAGGAAGCCACCCAGAGTGGCTGGGGAAAGCCAGCCAGATGGGCAGGGTATTAACAACAACAGCAATCTTAATAACAACAACAACCTCCAAGAAAGGAGATTCCACCACCTTCCAAGGAAGTCCATTCCACAGTCAAACAGCTCTTACCCCCAGAAAGTTCTTCCTAATGTTTAGTCGGAATCTCCTTCCTTGCAACTTGAATCCACTGGTTCGTCTCTGTGCAAGATTGGTGTCTGTCTTTGCAACCAGGACTTCGGGTTGTGTGTACGTCTGAGTGTGCACTCTTCAGGGAGCCGACTTTAGGGGGGCTCTTTTTGGGGGGGGGCTTTTTGGGTTGGCAAAAATGACCTCAAGACCCATTAGAGTGAGATCTTTCTCCCTCTTTTCCCCGTGCTGGTGGAACGTGGGGGTCGTGCAGTGAAACCTGGCCAGAGACTCAGAACAGAGGGAAGAGAGCCCCTTTGCACGATCAACAAATGAGAGAGACAGTGTGGTGTAGTGGTTGGAACCTGGGAGACCAGGGTTCAATCCTCGCTCAGCTGTGAAAGCTCATGGGATGTAACCTTAGGCCAGTCACTGTTTCTCTCAGCCTAGCCTACCTCACAGGGTTGTTGCAAGGATATGATGGGGGGGACCGGACCATGTGCACCACCCCTCGTGAGCTCCTTGAAGGAAAGGTGGGATATGACTATAACAATAATAATTGCATTGATAAAAATTCATTACTATTAACTACGAGTTACAGCTAAAAGGGGATGTGGGTGGCGCTGTGGGTTAAACCACAGAGCCTAGGACTTGCCAATCAGAAGGTTGGCGGTTCGAATCCCCACGATGGGGTGAGCTCCCGTTGCTTGGTCCCTGCTCCTGCCAACCTAGCAGTTTGAAAGCACGTCAAAGTGCAAGTAGATAAATAGGTACTGCTCCGGCGGGAAGGTAAACGGCGTTTCCGTGCGCTGCTCTGGTTCGCCAGAAGCGGCTTAGTCCTGCTGGCCACATGACCCAGAAGCTGTATGCCGGCTCCCTCGGCCAGTAAAGTGAGATGAGCGCCGCAACCCCAGAGTCGGTCACGACTGGACCTAATGGTCAGGGGTCCCTTTACCTTTACCATTTTACAGCTAGAAGACATGGTGTTGGCCCCTAGCACTAGATGGCTTTTTTCAGGAGAGCTGGAGAAAGGAGGAGGAAGAGGGTTACTGTTAGCAATGCCAGCTTCACAAAACCTCCATGTGCAGGTGTGGCCTACCTGTGAATACCAGGTGTTGAGGTTATAAAGAGGGGCCAGCCAATCCCCTCCGTGCCTTGTACATCAGCTTCCATGATGCATCTGACCAACTGCTGCAGACACACAGTGCTGACCTAGATGGGGCTTTGCTCTGGCCCAGGAAAGCAATGTTCTGGAATCAGTGGAACTCCTGGCTGCAGGATGAAATGTGCGTGCCAGGACACAGTTTTAGGCATTGAAAGCTCAGAGTTCTGGGGTGAGAAGTCTCAACTAGCTGTAGGCTTTCCTAGGTCAATGCTGGAAAACCGCAGCATTTCTCTTGCTCTTGGCCTCATTCCTCCCATCTGCAGTATGGGTCTAATAAGTCCCGTCTACCTTTTAGTGCTGTGGCAGAGAGGAGGCCCATGAACTGCCTTGAAACACCCCAGAGGCACATCTGTCCATGCTGAGGACAGCTGTGATTTAAGGAGGGAGCTAGTGGCTCCCTCCTTAAATTAAAAATTGAAAAGCTAGTTCCTTGCCCCAAGGCGCTTACATAACCTGAGGTTTGACAGTGGGCAAATAATGGAATAACCTTACTACTTCTTTATGTATAACTGACAAAAACAAAAATATGCAGGTTGTATTCAAGTGAGTCCTACTCAGAGTAGGCCTGTTGAAATGAACATGCCTAAGTTAGCCATGCCCATTACTTTAAATGGGTCTACTCTGAGCCAGATTAGCATTGGACACAAACAATATTGATATCTCTCTCGCTGTGTCTATATATTTTGCTTGATATAGACAAAAACAAACACACACACATATATTTTCTTGATTTGCATAACTAGTTCATAGCACCAGTTTTGAATTTTATCAATGCTGTGATTGAATTAGCAGTGCAAGAGCAATACAGGGTTGTTGCTGGGGGTTTGTTGGGGGGGGGGAATACTAACTCCCTGATGGGATTGATGTGAAAATGGAATTGCTGTTGGGGTGGGGACGGGAGGGGAAGGTGTGAGAAGATGCTGGAGTTTACAGAAGCAGAAAAAATATTGAGGGGAAATACCTAAGCTTTCTCCCCCACTCTCTCTGTCCCACGTCCCACCCCAAGAAATTAAAAATAGCCAAGGAGAGGAAAAGGGGAGGGAATGAAAAATGAAAATGGGATGTATGGGATAGAGTATCCTGGAAAAAATAATGGGTGGCTGGATCCCTGAACAGGGGCACTCTTGTGGGGAGAGGCGGATGCGCTGCAACACTTTGTTGCAACTCCCCCTTATTTACAATTAAAAAATGAGGGGATTTTAATATAAAAAAGTGGGGGTATATCATGTGGGCTCCATTTTCAGGTCTTTTGGAAGGATTTATTTGTTTCCTAAAATATTTGTGTACTGCTTGATTGTAAAAAAAACGGCAACACAAAACAAACTCAGAGCAGTATACAGAAAAGATCAAACCATAAAAATATCACTGAGGAAAGCTGACGACAGTAATATAAGACTTTCAAAAAAGTTAAAATAACAGCAGACTAAAAACAGGTGAAAACTCACATCGGTAGGCTTATCTAAACAGGAAAGTTTACGGAGGAGCCGGAAAGAGTACAGGGAAGGCAGCTGCCTGCCGTCAAGAGGCAGGGAGTTCCAGAGGTGCAGGCGCAGCCACACTACAGAGCGGTTGTGCCAGGGCCAGTTCCTCAGATCAGAGCGCTCTATGGGGCAAGGCGATCTCGTCGGTCAACGGACTTGGCTTGGGGTTGGGGGTCTGCATCTTCTGTGTGTCCCCTGCTGACCCCCTCTTTCTCCTTCTGTGTATGCCCTTCCCCTCTGCCGCCCCCCCCCAAAGAAGCAGGATCCCTCCGCCATGAGTCGCCGGGTGGTGCGCCAGAGCAAGTTCCGGCATGTCTTTGGGCAGCCAGTCAAGGCCGACCAGATGTATGAGGACATCCGGGTCTCCAAGGTGACGTGGGACAGCTCCTTCTGCGCCGTCAACCCCAAATTCGTGGCCATCATTGTGGAGTCGGGCGGCGGGGGGGCCTTCATGGTTTTGCCCCTGGCCAAGGTACGTTCCCCACTCACCGCTGGCGGGAGGGAGCATGTTTGGAGGGGGGGGGAGGCTGATGATTGCGAATGGGTTTTTGGCTAATAATAATGATTTGCATAGCATTCAATATCTATATATTCAAAGCACTTTGCATTCATTATCTCTGCAACAATCCGGCAAGGTGTTGTTGTTGTTTAGTTGTTTAGTCGTGTCCGACTCTTCGTGACCCCCTGGACCAGAGCACGCCTGGCACTCCTGTCTTCCACTGCCTCCCACAGTTTGGTCAAACTCATGCTGGTAGCTTTGAGAACACTGTCCAACCATCTCATCCTCTGTCGTCCCCTTCTCCTTGTGCCCTCCATCTTTCCCAACATCAGGGTCTTCTCCAGGGAGTCTTCTCTTCCCATGAGGTGGCCAAAGTCTTGGAGCCTCAGCTTCAGGATCTGTCCTTCCAGTGAGCACTCAGGGCTGATTTCCTTCAGAATGGAGAGGTTTGATCTTCTTGCAGTCCATGGGACTCTCAAGAGTCTCCTCCAGCGCCATAATTCAAAAGCATCCATTCTTCTCCTGCAAGGTGGGATCTATATATTCAGAGCACTTTGCAATCATTATCTCTTTGCAACAATCCTGCGAAGTGAGCCAGTCGTCTTCTGCCCTGGAGTGTGGATGGAGTTTTGTGGCTTGTCTCAGCAGGAGGAGTGTATCTAGCAGACCCCTCTTTGTTGCTGGACTCCAACTCCCATCATCCCCAGCCACGCTTGGGCTGCTGGGAGTTTTAGTCCAGAGGTGGTTGACTTCAACTCCCAGCAGAACATTAGACGATTCGGGACAGGGAAAAGAAAATCCATATTCACTCAGGGTATAGTTAATCCACGGAACTCGCTGCGGCAGGAGGTAGTAACGGCTGACAAATTGGATGGCTTTGTTGTTGTTGTTGATTAGTCGTTTAGTCGTGTCCGACTCTTCGTGACTCCATGGACCAGAGCACACCAGGCACTCCTGTCTTCCACTGCCTCCCCCAGTTTGGTCAAACTCATGCGGGTAGCTTCGAGAACACTGTCCCACCATCTCGTCCTCTGCCGTCCCCTTCTCCTTGTGCCCTCCATCTTTCCCAACATCAGGGTCTTTTCCAGGGAGTCTTCTCTTGTCATGAGGTGGCCAAAGTATTGGAGCCTCAGCTTCAGGATCTGTCCTTCCAGTGAGCACTCAGGGCTGATTTCCTTCAGAATGGAGAGGTTTGATCTTCTTGCAGTGTGGTGCTAAAATTGCCCCGTGCTTCTTGCCCTCAGTTCTACGCCGCTGGCACCCAATGCAGCAAAGCTGGTCATGCTATCCTAAGATCGCTTCTGCTAGATGGGCCTCTGGTCTGATCCACTAAGCTCTCTTTATGTTCTTATGGAGGGCAGCCCCCTCATCCCTGCTGAACAAGGTAATATGTTTGCTGAGGGTTGAAGAGCTTCACGTTGGTAGCCACTTCAGCCGAGGTGGGAAGTCTGATGCCCTTCAGACAGTTCACAGAGTCACAGAATTGCAGAGTTGGCAGGGACTCCCGAAGGTCATCCATTCTAACCCCCTGCAAGGCAGGAATCTCAGCTATACCCTCCGTGACAGATGGCCGTCCAACCTCTGCTTCTAAAACCTCCATTGAAGGTTCTGTTGTCAAACAGCTCTCACCCTCAGAAAGTTCTTGCTGATATTTAGTTGGGTGCCCTTCCTTGTGACTTGAAGCCATGGGTAGGCAACCTAAGGCCCGGGGGCCGGATCTGGCCCAATCGCCTTCTAAATCTGGCCCGCAAACGGTCCAGGAATCAGTGTGTTTTTACATGAGTAAAATGTGTCCTTTTATTTAAAATGCATCTCTGGGTTATTTGTGGGGCATAGGAATTCCTTCAAAATTTTTTTTCCAAAATATAGTCCGGTCCCCTACAAGGTCTGAGGGACAGTGGACCGGCCCCCTGCTGAAAAAGTTTGCTGACCCCTGCTTGAAGCCATTGGTTCGGGGGCCCCCCTAGGAGAAAACAAGATTGCTCTGTCTTCCGTGGGACAGCCCTGGAAGGGGTCCAGCCCTGACTCACCTTTGCCGCGTCTGTGCATCACCTGCACTTTGGTCCAGCATCACCTTGAAATCTGGGCACTCTTGCTTCTCACCTCCCGGTGTTTGGGAGAAGCAGAATTGATCAAAATTCTCCCTTTCGGTGTGACTATGAAAAACTGCCAGAGGTGTCTGTGCATTAGCTCAATCCTAGCCTTTTTTGTGGGAGGAGAAGTTGCCCCCCACCCCCTTCTGTTCCTGCATCCATTCTTGGGAAGAATTATTACCCCTTATTGTTATGCAACCTTGTATTTGAATTCTCAAGAGCTGTTTTTTTTAATCTCTCCACCACACATGCCCCAATATCCTCAGGCACAGCAGGGTTTCGGGGGGGGGGGTGTCCCAGCTGCCTCAGCAGGGGGCGCATGTGTGGTTGTAGGAGAAAGGAGACCACCTGCCGTTCCCTTTTCTGATGGGGCCGTTTTTTTGCGTTACCATAAGAATGAAAAGGCCCCTTGCCCAGGCTGGGGCTTTTGCTTTGTGGGGATCTGAATATATCACCCTCTTTGCGTCCCCATAAAGTTGCAGGAGTGGTGGGTGGGGAGAAATGAGTTCCCTTCCTCAATAAATTAGGTTTCTATATTAAACCAGCAACATAATTTCCTGGTCTTCTAAAATCTGGAGGCTGTCACTCAATTTAAATGGATTTGCCGGCTGATTAATTGATGTAACCGCAGCTTGATTAATCCGTTTACCAGTGAACTGATTGAAGATCATTGAGTCCTCCCTTAACAGGGCCGCCTTCTTTTTTGGAGATTTATGTCTCTGCGATAGGGTTTTGATTTTTCAATGAATACTTACTGTTAAAAACTCCCCCGCTAATGTTAGTATCTCCCTCTTGTACATTTCCTAATTACAGTAACACACCAGGATGAAAGTAGGTTTTTATTTTGTTTTATAGAAGATAGCAAACGTGGCCCTAGCTGTTACTAATAGCTTGATCCTTTTAAGTGAATCAAATGACACTTCCATTCATAAACCTACGGCTTAGACGTTTTGCAACCTCACAGAGTTCTTTCGCATAACTCCAGCAGACCCATTGACACAAATGCATAGAGGCGTCTAAGCATAATAAGCATTTTCAACACACCACCTTCCTGGTTACAACTTGAACTGCACAATTGTGGGCCAGTGTGATGTCGTGGTTGGACTAAGACTCTGGGCATGAGACCAGAGTTTGAATACCTGCTCTGCCACGGAGCTCATTAGATGACCTCAGGCCAGCCACTCACTCTCAGACTGACCTACCTGACAGGGTGGTTCTGAGGGTATAGTGGGGGGGGGGAGAGAGCTATGTACGTCACCCTGAAGTTCTTAGAGGCGAGGTAGGGTATACATAAAGAAACCACTTGTGTTTCTGCAGTGATGGTGCTGATTATTGCTAGGTTGTATTCAACTTATGGGTGGCGCTGTGGGTTAAACCACAGAGCCTAGGACTTGCCAATCAGAAGGTCGGCGGTTCGAATCGCCGTGACGGGGTGAGCTCCCATTGCTCGGTCCCTGCTCCTGCCAACCTAGCAGTTCGAAAGCACATCAAAGTGCAAGTAGATAAATAGGTACCGCTCCGGCGGGAAGATAAACGGCGTTTCCGTGCGCTGCTCTGGTTCTCCAGAAGCGGCTTAGTCCTGCTGGCCACATGACCCGGAAGCTGTACGCCGGCTCCCTCGGCCAGTAAAGCGAGATGAGCGCCACAACCCCAGAGTCGGCCACGACTGGACCTAATGGTCAGGGGTCCCTAAGAAATTCAACTTATATCAGGGACGCGGGTGGCGCTGTGGGTAAAACCTCAGCGCCTAGGACTTGCCGATCGCATGGTCAGCGGTTCGAATCCCCGCAGCGGGGTGCGCTCCCGTAGTTCGGTCCCAGTGCCTGCCAACCTAGCAGTTCGAAAGCACCCCCGTGTGCAAGTAGATAAATAGGGACCGCTTACTAGCGGGAAGGTAAACGGGGTTTCTATGTCCGGCTCTGGCTTGCCAGAGTAGCTTCATCACGCTGGCCACATGACCCGGAAGTGTCTGCGGACAGCGCTGGCTCCCGGCCTATAGAGTGAGATGAGCGCACAACCCTAGAGTCTGTCAAGACTGGCCCGTACGGGCAGGGGTACCTTTACCTTTACCTTTATTCAACTTATGTTTCACACAGCGTAGACCTATTGAAATTAATGGACCTAATTTAGTTTGCAATCTTGTACAGTTCTACTCAGAAGTCAGCCCCATAGATCTCCGTGGGTACATGAGTGTAGGTTTGCAGCTTGAGTCACGCTTGTTAATTTCAGTAGGTCTAACTCTGATTAAAACAACAACAATAATAATTTATTTATACCCCACCCATCTGGGTGGCTCCCAACCGAATATTAAAAACACAATACTGTACAGCATTAAACATCAAAAACTTCCCTAAACAGGGCTGCCTTCAGATGTCTTCTAAAAGTCAGATAGTTGTTTATCTCCTTGGCATCTGAAGGGAGCGAGTTCCACAGGGCGGGTGCCACCACCAAGAAGGCCCTCTGCCTGGTTCCCTGTAACCTCACTTCTGGAGGGAACTGGACCTCTTGGTTGAATGCCACTGATCATTATTGATTAAATGTCTATTCTGTCCTTATGTCCAAAGGAGCCCAGGGTGGCAAACTCCCCAAGGGTGTTAAAACAGTGCAATTAAAAATAAAATTTAAACTTTATTTTAAAACCTTAAAAATATTGAAAAACTTTTTTAAAAAGTAAACGTAAAACTTAAAGAAAAAAAGGGTCTCCCTAGTGGTTTGATGGAAACATTAGAATATGGAGAGGAGTAAGAGGGAAACCTGTGTTGATGCCACGTAAGTCAATGGCCAAGTAGCTTCTCCTTCCCTGGTCTTTCAGGACTGGAGCTTTATATAAAATGGTGCCTCCCCTCCTGGTTTTTCATTCTGGACAGGCTGTCTGGAAGGCTGGAACAGTTGATGGTCTTGTGGTAGTTGTTATAAGGAGTTGCTTAGAGAATCAGCCTTGCTGGCATTTTGCAACAGGACAGGTCTCTTTTCCCGAGGAGGCTAGTGATGGTATCTGTTAGGCCACTGAATAGGAGGCTGGACTAGATGGGCCACTGGCCTGATCCAGCAACCAGGCTCTTCTGATATTCTTACATGAGCACAGGGGACTCTTGCACCTTTAATTGTGCAGGAAAATCCTTCTGCACATATATATTAAAGATGCAGTAGCCCCAGTCTGCTTTGCTTCCAGCCATCCTACATAACTGAGGGGAGGGAGATTTGACACCCTGATTCAGAATCCTGTTAATAATAATAATAATAATAATAATAATAATTTATTCTCTATGAACCAGATTTCTTTTATTACTGCAGCTCTCTGGCTAAAGCAAAGCTCCTTTTCAGTTTTTTGACTTTGTCCTCCAATCTGTTTGCAGTTCCTCCCGCTTTTGTGTCGCTCACAGGCAGGGCTCCTTTTGTACGTGAGGGTAACTCGCCGTTTTATGTCTTACGCTGCTGTGTCCAATTCAAAGGACGTCATAAAACCCCCAAGGGGTTGTACAAAACGCTCATTCTACCCTGAGCAGATCCGTTGAAAACAAAGGGAGTGACTCATCTTGGGTCCGTGAATTTCGGCCGATCAGCTCTGAGTAAGACATGGTTGAAATGTGGTTTGAAACCCCTCCGATGTGTCCATTTTCCAGCTTTGTCTTTGCAGGACCTCTGCCCCCCCTCCATCCCTCGCTTTCCTTTCTCCCTCTCTTTTCCTTCCTGGTGCCCGCTGGTGCCCTCCCGGCCTCCGAAGGGCCTCACCCAGGTCCAAAACTTTCCCTCCCCTCCCAGGCGGCGGTTGAGAGATGGATGAGAGCAGTTGGCCTTTCTGGGGACAGCGCTGTGCTCACAATAATGAATGACTCACTTCGGGAACAATTGAAATGATGGCAGGAAGTTGGGTGGGGGGGATCACTTTTTCCACGGGTCAGGTTTCCAGCTGGGCTGTTTACTGCGTGACGCAGGGGGATCGGCCCGCCTGACAAGGCCGGCTCTCTCAAGGTCGTGCGGCTAAGGCAGAGGGTGGGAGAGCATGAGGCTCTTCATCTCAGAGTCGTGGGTTCAAGTCTCCTGCACTGCAGAGGGTTGGACTGGATGACCCTCGTGGTCCCTTCCAACTTTACGATTCTGTGGTAAGAACAGTTCAGTGATGGATCCATTTGCCTAGACCAGTGTTTCCCAAGCTTGGGTCTCCAGATGTTTTTGGACTACAGTTCCCATCATCTCTGGCCTCTGGTCCTGCCAGCTAGGGATGATGGGAGTTGTAGTCCAAAAACAGCAAGAGACCCAAGTTTGGGCCCTGGAGCGTCCCCTCAAGCAGAGATTGGACAGACATCTCCTGGAGATGCTCTAACTCTAGATTCTTCTAGCTCTGGGCTTGACTAGATGACCCATGAGTTCCCCTGATGACTCTTAGTATTCTATGAATTGATGATACAGTGGTACCTCAGGTTAAGAACTTAATTCCTTCCGGAGCTCCGTTCTTAACCTGAAACTGTTCTTAACCTGAAGCACCACTTTAGCTAATGGGGCCTCCTGTTGCTGCCGCGCCGCCGGACCACGATTTCTGTTCTCATCCTGAAGCAAAGTTCTTAACCTGAAGCACTATTTCTGGGCTAACGGAGTCTGTAACCTGAAGTGTATGTCCCCTGAGGTACCACTGTATACTTCACTGTTGGCTGAAAAAGGTTTTGCGACCTGTTGTTGTTTAGTCGTTCAGTCGTGTCCGACTCTTCGTGAGCCCCTGGACCAGAGCACGCCGGGCTCTCCTGTCTTCCACTGCCTCCTGCAGTTTGGTCAAACTCATGCTGGTAGCTTCGAGAACACTGTCCCACCATCTCGTCCTCTGTCGTCCCCTTCTCCTTGTGCCCTCCATCTTTCCCAACATCAGGGTCTTTTCCAGGGAGTCTTCTCTTCTCATGAGGGGGCTAAAGTATTGGAGTCTCAGCTTCACGATCTGTCCTTCCAGTGAGCACTCAGGGCTGATTTCCTTCAGAATGGAGAGGTTTGATCTTCTTGCAATCCATGGGACTCTCAAGAGTCTCCTCCAGCACCATAATTCAAAAGCATCCATTCTTTGGCGATCAGCCTTCTTTATGGTCCAGCTCTCACTTCCATACATCACTACTGGGAAAACCAGAGCTTTAACTATACAGACCTTTGTTGGCAAGGTGATGTCTCTGCTTTTTATGATGCTGTCTAGGTTTGTCTCCCAAGGAGCAGGCGTCAGGAAACCTTTAGTAGGTTGGCCGCCTTTTTGTGGGTCAATTGTGTGGGGAGAGGAGGGCTGCCTTTCCCAGAAACTCCCAAGATCTCTGTGTGTGTTTACAGACCGGCCGTGTGGACAAGAACATCCCCTTGGTGACAGGGCATACGGCCCCCGTGCTGGACATTGACTGGTGCCCCCACAATGACAACGTCATTGCCAGTGCCTCTGAGGACACAACAGTCATGGTAAGCGATGGCACCTTTAGAGGGAAGGATGTTTCTAATCGGCAAAGGGGGCATGTACTGGACGTGGTTGGGTACCTGTAGACACCTCATCAATTTGGGTGCCCGGATGTAGTAGAACAGCATTTTTCGGAGGTGGCACGGGGGGAGACGATTCAAATGCATCAGGTCAGGGTTTTGGGGGTCCCTCCACACGTGACTCGAAGCGCGCAGAACCAGCCTCCTCTTCCAAGCCAGAGAGTATGGCCGTTCGCCTTTAAATCACTGGAAAAGGTGTCAAGGGCTGTTTATAGCTGGCCGGCCGGTCCTCAGCCTGGCGTCTGACTTGCTAGGTATGATGCAGCATTTTGGGCTAAGAATAGCTCGGCGCACGACAACTCAGCAACTAAGAATAGTTGGCTCTGTGGCCTTGGCCGGGGGGTGGGTAGGAATGAAGAAGGCGGCAGCTTCCTCTGATTCCCCCCCCCAAAAAAATTCCTCTTCCTCCCCTTTTTCTTCTCCTTTCGCAAAGGACACCAAAGTGTCCTCCATAGAAAACTTCTTATTTATGAGCTCAGGGAACGTAGGCAGTTGCCTTATCCGGAGTCAGGTCCATTGAGTTCACTATTGCCTACACTGGCTGGCAGCTGCTCTCCAAGGTTTGAATCGGGGGGGGGGTGTGACCCCGTCCCTACCTGAAGGTGCCAGGGATTGAGGTTGGGACCTTCTGCATGCAGAGCAGGTGACCTGTCACAGAGCTGCAGTGCCCTCTCCCCTAAAATTGGAACAGGTTCCTAGTCCTCATGGTTCTTAATGAAAGGGCTGGTTTAAATAGGAGCAAACCATTGGCCCCTTTAGCTGAGTTTGGTCTGCACTGGCCGGCAGCATTTCCCTGGGGTTTCAGGCAGGGAGAGCCTTATCCCAACCCCAACTGGAGATGCTATTGTGGCTAGAACCAGGGACCATCTAGACGCAGAGCGGGTGCTGAATGCCTCTGAGCTGCCGCCGTCTCCATCGCCGCCTCTTTGTCCCACCAGGTCTGGCAGATCCCTGACTACATCCCCATGCGCAACCTCACGGAGCCAGTCGTCACCCTCGAAGGGCATTCCAAGCGTGTGGGGATCCTGACTTGGCACCCCACAGCACGCAACATCCTACTGAGCGCAGGTGAGACCCTCTCCCCAGATTCAGGCCCCTCACTGCACCAAGCCTGCAGCTCCCAGCATCCCAAGCCATTGGCTGGGCTGGCTAGGACTGATGGGAATCGTGGCCCAAAATGTTTGGAGGACACCAGGTCACAGAGGCTGCTGATTTGAGCTCCTCGGAAGAAAGGTAGGATTCAAATACAACATCAAGTGCCTTCCTGGCACATCCTCTGCCAAAACAGCTCACCTGGACCTCCTGCCACCCTTTCGTCCTGCTGGAGTAGGCATAGCCACCTACTGGCAGCCGAAAGAACTGCAGCGTGACGACAGCCTTACATGTATATGTATATAGTAAGATATTTGTCTAGATCAGCCTTCCCGCAATGTGATGCCCTCCAAATGTTTCAGGACGGCAGCTCTCATCGCAGCTGACTGTTCTGTCACGCCAGGCTGACTGATGCCTCATTTTGGCCCTTTCCCAACTCCCCTTCCTTCCTGCAGGGGGCGACAACGTCATCATCCTCTGGAACGTGGGCACTGGGGAGGCGCTCCTGACCCTGGATGACCTGCACACCGACCTCATCTACAATGTCTGCTGGAACCACAACGGGAGCCTCTTTGTCACCACCTGCAAGGACAAGCACCTGCGAATCATTGACCCCCGGCAACACCTGGTTGTGGCAGTGAGTAGCCGCTGCTGGCCCTAGCCTGCCACTGAGCATGTGTGGACAGCCTCTCCTGCTCCCTGGCTTGTCTCTCCTTCCCTCTCTCCCCTCCCTGCCCTGGGACAGACATCTAAGGGTAAGCGTCATGGCACAGATTCCCTTGGACCTGGGACAGGGGACCTGTGGGCCTGCAGGTCTGTTGCTAGACTCCAGCTCCCATCAGCCAGCATGCTCAATGGTTGGGGACAATGGGAGCTGGAGCTCCCGAGATGCTTGACCGCTCGTAGCGGAAGCGGTGGGCGGACTTTGCACATGCTCAGAGACCCACTCTTCAGACACACTCAGGGGTACTTTTCTCCCCACACTGTCCCCAAGCTTAGCAGTGGGGCGTTGCCTAGCCAATTTTTAAATACAGGTATTTATTTATTTCATAAAAGTTATACACTGCTTGATTGTAGAAAACCGCAAAGCAGTTTACAAAAAGGGATAGAACAAGAAAGTTATCGCTCAGAAAAAAATTGCAGAAATCATTTAAAGCTTTCAAAATGTTAAAATAACAATAAATTGAAAACAGATTCAAACGCTTGCCACTTGTTTAGGCTTGCCTAAACAAAAATGGTTTTAGCAGGACAGTGAAGGCACCTGTCTGATATCAATAGCTAGGAAGTTCCAAGGTATTTTATTTTATTTTGCTTTTTTCATGGATGAGCCTCTTTGACATCCCAAATGAGCCAGGGGCGCGGAGCGCTCCTGCTCACATCGTGATGAAGATACAGTGGCAGGAGAAGTAAGATTGTAGTCCTCATGGGTCAAAAGAAATATCTGGTTTGGAGAGGAAGCTGCCTTCCTCTTGGTCCATCTGGCCCAGTATTGTCTGCACTGACTGGCAGCAGCAAGACAGGGTTGCAGGAGGGAGCATTTCCCAGCCCTGCCTGGCGATACCATTAAGATCCTGAGACATTCTGCATTCAAGGCAGATGCTCTCCCAGTGAGCTCAGACTCTTTCTATCTGGGAAGGGGCAAAACAGCACCGATCTGTCTGTTTAGGGCAGTTAACTGGGATGTGGTTTGCAAAGCCAGATCAGGTTCTGTCTCAGACCCAAAGCATCCTCCTTTAGGATTCGTCCCCAGTTTTGCACTCGCACAAACGTGAAAGCGAGCCTCTACGTTAAAGGAATGTGAGTGCTCCGTGTCAGCCTCTTCTCACAGTGGCCGGACCAGGTGCCTGCGCCAAGCCCTCGGGCAGGATTCGAACACAGGATCAGCTCTCCCTTCCTGCAATTGTCCCGGCAGAGAGCCGTGTTCCTTCTTCCTCCCCTCTCCGGAGTGTGCTCTTACTTGGACCTGTACTAACCTTGTGTGTGTGTGTGTCTATTTCTCTGTTTGGTCCTAACCTGCTTAACCCTGCGGCCGCCAGGAGAAATTCAAGCCCCACGAAGGCGCCCGTCCCGTCCGAGCCATCTTCATGGCCGATGGCAAAGTCTTCACCACCGGGTTTAGCAAGATGAGCGAGCGGCAGCTAGCGCTTTGGGACTTGGTATGGCTTGGGGAGGGGGCTGCATGACGGATGGTGGGGAGGGGTGTGTGTGTGTGTGTGTGTGTGTGTGTGTGTGTGTGTGTGTGTTTCTCTTGGGGTGGGGGGTCTATCCTGGCCTTTCTATCAGCAGGAGGAGAGGAGAGGGAAGGAGAGCGTCTTGGAACCCAGATCCCGGTACTGAATGAAGAGTACCAACCAGGGAATCACCTCTGGTATTTTTGGAGGAAAAAATACAATACAATACGATAATCTTTATTGTCATTGTCCCATACAGAACAACGAAATTGAAAAAATCTACATCAGACATTCAAAAACCAACAAGCCTGCTATCCCAGCTATCCCAGCCTGGTTAGCCCCTAAAAACTCTGATACCCCATAATTGAATACAGTATACTTCCATAGAGACTACCTCAAAAAGTTAAAGGGACCCCAGACCATTAGGTCCAGTAGTGGACGACTCTGGGGTTGCAGCGCTCATCTCGCTTTATTGGCCGAGGGAGCCGGCATACAGCTTCCGGGTCAAGTGGCCAGCATGACTAAGCTGCTTCTGGCGAACCAGAGCAGCGCATGGAAACGCCGTTTACCTTCCCACCAGAGCGGTAGCTATTTATCTACTTGCACTCTGACGTGCTTTCGAACGACTAGGTTGGCAGGAGCTGGGACTGAGCAATGGGAGCTCACCCAGTCGTGGGGATTCGAACCGCCGACCTTCTGATTGGCAAGTCCTAGGCTCTGTGGTTTAACCCACAGCGCCCCCTGCATCCCGAGAGACTACCTTACACTGCATTTAAAACTAAAATCGCATTTGGATAGAAACTGTCTAAACGACAACAAAGGCCTACCAAAAATGTGTACTGACCACAGTTTCCCCTTTCATTATAAATGGGGGGCAGGTGGGGAAACAAGGCAGCTCACCATCTCCCTGCCCTGCCCCCCCCCGAGTCATTTAGAAAACTTTTTGAACTGGTTGCCTGGAGCCAGTTTTAACTCGCCCCAGGCGACCAGGCCCATCTGGTAGGGCTTCCCTTGCTCTCTGTTCCATGATCTGCAGCTGCCAAGCGAGATATGGATGTGAACAGATATAAGAGGGAAAGGTTGAGACAGATTTATTTAAAATTTTTAAAATTCTGATTTTGGTGGTGGTTGTAGGTTCTGGCCCTTAGCCTGAGTTCACAACATGGCCTTATTCAGAGAAGCATATTTCCTCTGTGATTTCTTGGTCCTGTTGGGAAACACTGACTCTGGACACACCCTACATTTTAAAGCCCATTCACTTTCCCCGAAGAATCTTGGGAAGTGTAGTTTGTTAAGGGTGCTGGGAATTGTAGCACTTTGTGGGGGTTAAACTACAGTTCCCAGGATTCTTGGGGAAAATAATGTGCTCTAAATGTATTATTATTATTATTATTATTATTATTATTATTATTATTATTACACACCTTTCGTCTAAAGAGCACAAGGTGGTGTACATAATTCTCCCTCTCTATTTTATCCTCACAACCACCCCATGACGTAGGTTAATCTGATGCTGCTCTCTGTGGCTTTTTCTCAGTTTTGCCGCTTGGGGGCGCACCTCTAGAGTAAAAGAACCACCTGAGAATTAACAGGGATCTCCCACCACACAGCGAGATTTATTAAAAATTAAAATTAAAAATTTCCTTGAGAAATCTCCAGGGGCGGCAGCAGCTCCCAGCCGGCAACCTCTCTCTCTCTCTCCATCCTTCTCGCCTCCTCCGGCGCCTCGCTTTTCCTTTCGACACACCCTTTTAACCCTTTCTCTCCCCTGCTCGCCCCAGGAAAGGTTTGCCCCCCACGAAGGGATGCGGCCGATGAGGGCCGTCTTCACCCGCGACGGACTCGTCTTCACCACGGGGTTCACTCGCATGAGCCAGCGAGAGCTGGGACTCTGGGATCCGGTAGCTGGGCCACGCATGGTGTGGAGTGTCTCCCCCCCCCCCCGGGAACCTGGGCGCTTTCTGCGACATTGCCACCTCTCCCGGCACGCTGAGTGTTTGGAGACAGGCCAGGCCAGGGCAGCTGCAAAGTTCAGGCGAGGAGACATGTGCTCAAAGGCATTAATGCGCAGAGGAACATCAGAGGGACACCATAATTTCTAGCAGGGCAGCTTTAAAAAACATCAGATGCCCACTGGATCCAAAGGTCCAGCATCCTGTATCCTCTAATTCAATGTTTCCCAAACTTGGGTCTCCAAATGTTTTGGACTACAACTCCCATTATCTCCCAACATCTACATGCAGCCACTGGGAGAGATCATCAGGGGCTTTGGGCTGGGTGTTCATCAGTATGCGGATGATGCCCAGCTCTACCTCTCTTTCAAATTGGAACCTGTGAAGGTCCTGTGTGAGTGTCTGGAGGCGGTTGGAGGATAGATGGCAGCTAACAGATTGAGGTTTAATCCTGACAAGACAGAAGTACTGTTTTGGGGGGAAAGGAGGCGGGCAGGTGTGGAGGACTCCCTGGTCCTGAATGGGAAGGCTCCTGAAGGACCAGGTGCGCAGCCTGGGAGTCATTTTGGACTCACAGCCTTCCATGGAGGTGCAGGTTAATTCTGTGTCCAGGGCGGCTGTCTACCAGCTCCATCTAGTACGCAGGATGAGACCCTCCCTGCCCGCAGACTGTCTCGCCAGAGTGGTGCATGCTATAGTTATCTCCCGCTTGGACTACTGCAATGCACTCTACGTGGGGCTACCTTTGAAGGTGACCCGGAAGCTGCAACTAATCCAGAATGCGGCAGCTAGACTGGTGACTGGGAGCGGCCACCGAGACCATATAACACTGGTATTGAAAGACTTACATTGGCTCCCAGTACGTTTCCGAGCACAATTCAAAGTGTTTGGTACTGACCTTTAAAGCCCTAAACGGCCTCGGTCCAGCTGCGAGAAGCCAAGTTACAGGGAACCAGGCAGAGGGCCTTCTCGGTAGTGGCACCTGCCCTGTGGAACGCCCTCCCACCAGATGTCAAAGAGAAAAATAACTACCAAACTTTTAAAAGACATCTGAAGGCAGCCCTGTTTAGAGAAGCTTTTAATGTTTAATAGGTTATTGTATTTTAGTGTTTTGTTGGAAGCTGCCCAGAGTGGCTGGGGGGACCCAGCGATGGGCGGGGTATAAATATATTATTATTATTATTATTATTATTATTATCATCATCATCATCATCATCATCCCTGGCTAGCAAGACCAGTAGCCATGGATGATGGGAATTGTAGTCTGAAAAAACAGCCAGAGACCCAACATTGGGAAACGCGGCTCTAATTCACACGCATACAAAGAAATCAGGTGTCGAAGCTGCTTCTTGCTCACTGACAAGGCAGGCGGGCAATTGAACTAATTTGCATTGCTCAGTCGGTAGAGCACATCTGGGTTGTGGGTTTGAGTCCCACGCTGGGCAAAATATTTCTGCATTACAGGGGTTTAGGTTAGATGACCCTCGTGGTCCCTTCCAACTCTCCAGAGTCTAAGACAGGTGTGGGCTATAGCTAACATTAGTCCTACTCAGAGTAGACCCACTGAAATTAACAGAGGTGACTATGAGGTTCATCCCTTTCACCTGCCGTCGTTTCCCTGTTTTGCCACTGGAGGGCGCATCTCTAAGTTGCTTCCTGGGAGATGTAGTTTTTCAGTGCCTTGTCAGTGCCGGATCAGGTGGCATTGAGGACTTCATCCCCCATCATGCATTGTGCAGGAGGCCAACTTTTACCACATTCCCCTGAGTATAAGGATCATTGGATTCTAATCGAGCCAACATTGGAGGCAAATGCCATGTTCCTGGAACATGTGGTGTGGATTTGCGGTGGTGTGAATTTGCAGAGGCGTGTGTGCTTGTGGGGAGTGGGGGGGGGGCATGAAAATCGCAGTGCATGCTGGGAATGCTGTGCTCCTAAGTGTGCAAAACATAGGAACTGGGACTTCTGAAAGAAGGTTTCTAGGTGGGGGGACCCATCCCTACCTGGGGTCAGGGGAAAGGCATTCCCACCGCAAAGAGAAATGTTAATCCCAGAGCTGCCACAGGGTGGCCTTTAAAGGTAAAGGGACCCCTGACCGTTAGGTCCAGTCGTGGCCGACTGTGGGGTTGCGGCGCTCATCTCACTTTACTGGCCGAGGGAGCCGGCGTACAGCTTCCGGTTCATGTGGCCAGCAGGACTAAGCCGCTTCTGGCGAACCAGAGCAGCGCACGGAAACGCCGTTTACTTTCCCGCCGGAGCGGTACCTATTTATCTACTTGCACCGGTGTGCTTTTGGACTGCTAGGTTGGCAGGAGCAGGGACCGAGCAATGGGAGCTCACCCCGTCATGGGGATTCGAACCGCCGACCTTCTGATCGGCAAGTCCTAGGCTCAGTGGTTTAACCCACAGCACCACCCACGTCCCTATAGGGTGGCCTTTACACAGCTGGCATTTGGCACAGCCAGACTTCCCACCCCAAGGCCAGCTTGGAGAATGACCTGGCCCTCAGCACATGCTCAGAGGCACACAGTCTCCTTGCTTTGCTCCTCCTGGTTTTGAGCCTTGGGCTCCCTCCCGGCACAGGAACCCAAAAGTCAAGATGGCGAAAGGAAGGTGATTCAAATGCCTGACAAAGGGAAGCGGGGTGTGTCCCTAGCTTAATGGGGGCGGGTCAGACTAGATGTCCTTTGAGGTGCCTTTCAATGGAGCTCAGTGGCAGAGCCCAACGAAACATTGCACGCCGCCTTTGTATACCATGCCAGGCTCTTTCTCCACATTGCCCAGTGTTGCCTGCACTGACTGGCAGTGCCTTTGGTAGGGGAAGCTCTTTCCCCCCATCCCACGCTACTGGTTTCTGGAGATGCCAGATTTCGAACCTGGAACCACCTGTGTGCAAAGTGGGGGCTCTGCTACTGAGCTCCAGACTCCCTCTCCACTTGGGCCGTGGAACTGAGGAGGGAGATTGGGTATTGCTGGGCTTTTGGCTGAGAGAAGCCGTCCCCATTTGTGTGTGTGTGTGTGTGTGTGTGTGTGTGTGTGTGATTGCTGTGTCCAGATTGTGTCTGGTCTGCTTTTGCCCCCCTGTGCCCTGACACCCCCTTCTTCCTGCAGAAGAACTTCGAGGAGCCCATAGCCCTCCAGGAGATGGACACAAGCAACGGAGTTCTCCTTCCCTTCTATGACCCTGATTCCAGCATAGTCTACCTGTGTGGCAAGGTAAAAAGTGAGAGAAATGTTCCCTGATACCAAGATGACGGATTCTTTGGAACGCAGATAGAAAGAATTGATAAGAATAATGATCTGTTGTGACCTTGACAGAAGTGTACAATAGATGAGCCTTCTTGTATTTTGGCTCATCTTCCTCCTTTTCTTCTTCTTCTTTTTTTCTTCTTCTTTTTCTTCTTCTCATCCTTCTTCTTCTCTCCTTTTTCTTTTTTCTTTCCCATAATGGCTTATGTTTTATACCATGTACTTTGATATTTTTTGTATTTTTTAGCTTTATTATTATTATTATTATTATTATTATTATTATTATTATTATTGAATTTTATTTTGTTATTTTGGTTAACTATATTTATATGTATTTGTTTAAAGCAAGATAAAGGTTTTTTTGCTTTTGTTTTTTTAAAAAAGTGGGAGGCGGTAGCGTTCCTGTCTGGCCGCAGAAGAGATGGGGGCACTAGAGCCCCTGAGAGCAACTCCCCCCATTTCTCCCACTGTTTCCGTTTGGGGCATTCTTAGAATTGGTACCCGAGCTCGCTCACTTTCCTCTTCCCTCCTCCTCCCTTTTCCTTTTGCAACAACACTTCTGCAACATAGCGGCCTGTAAGAGTGTCTTGGCTCCTGGGTGACCTCCCACACTGGCCACACTCTCTCTCAGCCTGTCTACCTTGCAAGGTTGTGAGGATAAAACAAGGAAGTGGGGGAAGAGTGAGCTGAGTACATTGAGGGAAGATCTTCCAGGACTGATATCCAACGAAGCAGTTTGCCTTTCAGGAAAGTGGGAAGATGCTCAAAGATAGGGATTTAGCTTTTTGGATTTTGGATTTAGATTTTGAGGGTTTGGGGGGTTTTTTTGTTTAAGATATTTTGGATTTTTAGATTTTAGATTTTTTTAAAAAGTTTTGATTTGTAGAAAGAGAGCTCTCCCATAAGGCAAGCCCTACCCTGCTTTTCAAATGTGTGCGCATTTCCCCCCTATTTATATTAATCTCTCCACTCAGGGCATCCCCCTATCCTTGCTTTGCAAACTTCCGTGCTAATAAAAATGCAGTGAACTTTTCCTCGTACCCTGAAATGTGTGAGGTTCTCGCTAACTAATTTAAAAAACGAAACAAAAAGCCGAGTTACTTCCCAGCCTAAATCTCCTGCTTCCGTGCAGGGGGACAGCAGCATCCGGTACTTTGAGATCACGGACGAAGCCCCCTACGTCCATTACCTGAGCACCTACAGCAGCAAAGAACCCCAGCGAGGGATGGGCTTCATGCCCAAGAGAGGCCTGGATGTCAGCAAATGCGAGATTGCCAGGTATGGCTCAAGGTCCAGGTATGGCTCAAGAGGTGGAGGATGGCTTGAGAGGGGTGGGGGAACATTCCTAAGGCAGGTTTGTGGCTTCGAAAAGGAGAAAACCTTGGTTATTACCCTCTCCATTGGCAAGCTCAGCTGGTGCCAATCTGACACAAATTGAATTTGACGCGAATCGCAACACAGAATTGTAAAGTTGGAAGGGACCCCCAAAGGTCATCTGGCCTGACCCCCTGCAATGCAGGAATCACAACTAATGAGTCCCTGACAGATGGCCGGCCAACCTCTGCTTCAAAAGGAAAGAAGGGAGTCCCTTCCGCTGTCAAATGGCTCATAACCAGTGAATCACCCAGTGGGCTTCCCCGGAGAGCGTGTTTCGCTGATGGAGGGGCCACCACCGAGAAGGCCATTTCACCAATGGCTGCTAGCTCCATCTAGGTCGGTGGGATCTTAATAAAATCCCCAAATAACCACGACCTCAGTGGATGGGGGAGCCTAGTGTCCGGGGAGCTGATGCTTCAGGTGTTGGCGGCACAAGAATCTAGCGCAGGTGATAGGGTTGTGCCTGCCCCATAACCCACAGAGGGGGAGCCACAGCCCAGGGGCCAGGTGCTGCTCTCCAAGCCTCTCTTCCTGGCCCTCGAAACTTTCCCCTGGCCGCAGCCCTTTTCCCTCACCAGCCCCACACCTGGGTTTTTTTTGCCTGGCTGGGAATTCCCTCCCGAAACTCTGACTCTTTGCTTGGCGTGATGGAGGATGCACAGGTGTGTGTCTGTGCGTCTGTGTGCAAAATTTGTCTCACCTGACCTCGTGTCCCCCTTTGCCTCTCCCCCATGAAACAGGTTTTTCAAGCTGCACGAGCGCAAATGCGAGCCCATTGTTATGACCGTTCCACGAAAGGTGAGCAAATTGGAAGATTTGGGGACCGTGGGCATGTCCGGGGGGGGGGGGGGAGGAAGAACCATTATTGGACACACACACACACACACACACCGGCTGCATCAATTTCCCAATATACCTGAGCTACAAGTCCCGTCAGACCCAGAAACCAGGCTTGATGGGAATTGTAGTTTAGCAGTGCCTGGAGGGTTTGAGGCTCCCGCGCTATGCCTGCTCTAGAACCGGGGTTCCCAAAATGGGCAATAGTGCCCCCTGGGGGCAGTGGTGTGTGTGCGTGCGCTGGAGGGGTAAATGACTATCAGACTTTGAAAAGCTTAGAAAAGTTCACTAATTCTATTTAATGAATTAAATTTTGTTTTGAACAAATGTGCAATTAACTGTTGCTGCTTTGAATGTTATTGTGTTATTGTCTTCCTTAGTGGCTATTCTAAATAATGCTGTTTGTAGGGTAGGGGACACGGGGGTGAATTTATGGAACCGGGGGGGCGGGTGTGGCCCCCAAAAGCCATTGTTCTAGATGGACCAGATCTTAGGCCAGAGGGCATTATGGATAGCAAGGGCAAAGCAGTCTGGAATCTCTCCTGTTCCCTTCTCTCTGCCCTGGGCAGTCTGACCTCTTCCAAGACGATTTATATCCTGACACGCCGGGGCCTGAACCCGCACTCGAGGCAGACGAGTGGCTGTCGGGAAAGGACGCGGAGCCTATCCTGGTTTCGTTACGGGACGGCTATGTCCCCGTCAAGAACCGGGAGCTCAAGGTCACCAAAAAGAACATCCTGGACAGCAGGCCCCCCACGGGGCCACGGCGAAGCCAGTCCACTTGCGACACAAATTTTTCGGTGAGTTTTTCTCATCCCCTCAGGGGCGGGAGAGGGATGTAAACTTGACGGCTGTGAAAGGTAAAGCGCCTGGAACGCTCTCTGCAGCGTTAAATCAAGTTGCATCGCCACCTGGTGGTGGTTGGAGAAACAGCCACAAAATGCCCTTCAAGGCACTTTGACGCTGCTCAGTTTCCTCCAAAGCATTTTAGTGGGAATTTCAAGGGGGCTGTGGAATGGACCCGAATGGCTACATTGGTGGAGGCTCACAAATGCTGTGGACTAGAAGCTTGCTTTTCCCCATCCGAAGAGTTGAGACCTTTTCCAGGGAGCATGGTGGGGTCCCCTAGGTCCTGCCACTCCTCTAACTCTTGCCTTCCTCTCTCTTTCTTTCTCCATCCCTTCTCCCCACCTGCCCCCCCCAAAGCGTTCTGCGTTGGAGGAGCTTCTGGAAGAGATCCGGTCCTTGCGGCAAACTGTCCAAGCTCACGAGAAGCGCATCTCTGACCTGGAAAACAAACTCTGCCAGTTCACCAACGGGACGGACTAGCAACTCCCCCCCACCCCCCGAAAAAACCCCCACCCACCCACCAGCCTTGGCCATGCCTGGGGACACCCTCCGCCGGAGACCCGGATTCTGCATCTTTCCCCTTTCCCGGAGACTCCGCTGCTTATTCTCCCATGGCTCAGCAGACGTTTGCAGTGGGGAGCAGGGACATTCTCCCCCCGCCCGACCCCCGCCTACTGGAAATGGCCCACCACCCTGACCTCCCCCCCCTAAGCTTGGACTTTGATCTCAGCTGCTTTGGAACGACAGGCAAGAGCTTTTCAGGGAGGGGGCAGAGAGAGTGAAGGAGAGAGGGATCAGAGTTCAGATCTTGCCCCCCCCCCCGTCCCAAAACTGGGCCCGACACCCACCCTCTACCTCATCCTGCCTTCTCCTTGCCACGGAACGGGGCAACTGTGTTATTTTTATTGGGGGGGGCGTGTTCCATGTGTGTTTTGGGATGCAGTGACCGGGGTGGGGCGGGGGGTCGAGATTTGAGGTTGAATGGAGACTGGGGGGCGATGGGAAGTGGGGTGAGGCACTGCTTGCTTTTAGGGGGAGGGAGAGAGACAGACCCTGCAGGCGGGGGCAGACATTGGCCAGAGGAGAGCAGAGGGTGGCCTCTGTGCTGAGCGAACGGGTGGGGTATTATGGGATGGCTCGGAACAATTATCTGGGGCCCTGATGAGTTGCCTCACATCTTTGGTTGGGGGGGCGGGTTGTTCTCTGCAATATGTAGTTGGGTGGAGTGTCAGCTGCTTGAAAAGGGGGAGATCTGTAGACCATCCCTGAATTGTGATGATGTGCCAATGAATTTTGGGGATCCCTGGAATGGAGCGGGATGGGGGGCTGTCCCCTCCCCCATGCTTGTATTGCAAAGCCGCAACCATGGGAGGGGGGCTGGGGGGGGACAAGGCAGGAGGGCCATTGCTCATGCGCAAACGCTGATTAAAATATACGTGCAGTTAAAAGCTGCTCATCGGACGCAGCCTCTTTTTTCTGTCTGTGAAAGGGCAAATCTGTGTCTATCAATCCCGCTGGATCCCTTCCATAGGAGTCTATAGCCTCCAGGGCTGTGTCGTCATTGGACAGGGTTGGACCCAGGAGGGACTGGATTCGAATCAGCGCTCGGCCACAAAGCTCAGCCTTAGATGGCTTGCTCTCTGCCTAACCTAATAAAATGGGGGAACAAACCATGAGGGACAGGATTTACATGGGTGGCGCTGTGGGTTAAACCACAGAGCCTAGGACTTGCCGATCAGAAGGTCGGCGGTTCGAATCCCCGCAACAGGGTGAGCTCCCATCTGTCCCTGCTCCTGCCAACCTAGCAGTTCGAAAGCATGTCAAAGTGCAAGTAGATAAATAGGTACTGTTCCGGCGGGAAGGTAAACGGCGTTTCCATGCACTGCTCTGGTTCGCCAGAAGCGGCTTCGTCATGCTGGCCACGTGACCCAGAAGCTGTACGCCGGCTCCCTCGGCCAATAAATCGAGATGAGCGCTGCAACCCCAGAGTCGGCCACGACTGGACCTAATGGTCAGGGGTCCCTTTACCTTTTTAATAAATAAAATGAAAGAGCTTTTTCTTAAACCATAGCTCCATGGTAGATCCCAGATTCAGAGTTGTGGAGCCTCTCTCAACCGTACCTGGAGAAGTTCAGCCTGCAAGCCTGTCGCTCTGCCGCTGAACCAGAACTTATCCCCAACAAGACGCCAAAAGGACGGAGGCAGGAGGCAGCGAAGGTTCACGAGGTTTTATTTTGTGTCTCTGTGTAGGTAACACACCTGAGCAGGCTGGTTGTTGTGGTCCCTCCCCTCAGAGAGTGGCTTCCCCCTGGCACGTGGGGGTTAAGGACCCACATCCTTTACGAAGAGCCACACACACCCCACCCCTGACCCCGGTCCACCCCCAAACTGTGCACGACACATTTGTCTTGTCTCGGTGGGGTGTTGAGGTGGGGGCACATCTGAGAACTAGGCCTAGAGGCGTATCTCTGGCCCCCGCCATTGCCTGGCAAAGGTTTTGGACAAGGAAGAGGCATGTGTGTGTGTGTATTTGTGTGTAGGTTAGCACCATTGAACAACGAGGGGTTGAGCTCCAGATGCTCTAGGAGGGCTACACCAGGGGAGGTGTGTTTTTCAGAGAGAAGGGGGGAGGAATAAGATCTGGATTGAACCCTTAGCTGCAGCATACAAACCCCTCCAGTAAAGCGAGTGGTCATGGCTGAAACCTTCCATTTCAAAGCCACTGGCCTGGTTCAGCAAACCATGGTTTACTCCGCCAACTTCCGAGCTCTGTCTCAAAGAGGAAAAGAAGCGAAGAGTTTGGGGCAGGGATCTGTGGGGAGAGCAGAGGACAGCGAGGCGGGTTCAGGGCCGTCACATGGAGGATGGAGCAAGCTTGTTTTCTGCCGCTCCGGAAGGGAGGACCCGAACGCATGGCTTCAAGTTAAAAGAAAGGAGATTCTGAGTCAACATCAGGAAGAACTTTCTGGTGGCGAGAGCTGCTTGGCGGTACAACAGGCTCCCGGCAGGTTTGTAAGCGGAGCTTGGGTGGCCGCCTGGCGTGTATGATCACGCTGAGATTCCTGCATCGCAGGGGGTTGGGCTAGATGACCCTCGGGGGCCCCTTTCAACTCTACGGTTCTTCGCTGCTAGGGGGCACCAAGCTGCACATGTCTCTGCCTTCAAAACCAACCTGCCCATTTACACTGACTCAGGTGTAGGCAGCAACTGGAGCCCTGGAGATGTCAAGGAAAGCTTGCCCCACTTCCTGGGCTTGGGGGGCACTGCTCCCCCCCCCATGCCCGGCACTTAGGCAGAGCTAGCAAAGGGTTCCCCTTGCCCTCCCTTTGGAGTTTGGAAGCCATGTTCAGGCATAAACAGCATTACAGTGTCAATTCCAAACAGGGAGGGTCTGGAATCAGGCAGGAGACCTGGGTTTTTGAAAAGCGGGGTTCGTAAGTGCACTTGGTGCTGGGCGGCAGGGAAGGGCAGAGGCTACCAGCTGAATTGCGGTCTTCAAATTAAAACAATCTAGAATTTATCTCCAGGATCCACCTCCAGGTTAAATTATCCCAGCGCTGTGGACTTTCCAAAAGCAGGGCTGAAAGTGGAGTCCCCCTCACTCTGCCTCTCTATTGGACCCCTGGAATCCCCAGGCCCCACCCCTTCCTTAGCTCCACCCCCGCCACACCCCCTCCTGACCACACCCTCTCCCTCCAGGCCACACCTCCTTGGCCACACCCTTTCCCTGCAGGCCACACCCTCTCCCTATAGGCCACACCTCCTCAGCCACACCCTCTCCCTACAGGCCACACCCCTCACTGCCCCTGCTTTTTACTCTGCTTGAAGATTTCTGCCTGGAAATGCATCCTGGAGCTCTGGTCGGATGGAGGATAGAGCAGAGTGAACACAGGTAAAATTTGCATCCTTTGCTCCGCCTGCTTTCCCCTAGCCCCGCCCACCACCATCCTTCCTTGCCAATCATCTCCTGCTTCTCTCCATAGCTGGGCACTGATTTTCCTGCTCTGATTCAAGTGCAAGTTATAAAAAAAAGCTTGTGAAGGAAGACCCACTGAAGGGAGGGGGGAGGCTGTGTGCTATCAAGGTGTGAAATGTTTTAAACTTAAACCAACACCTTGCTGCAATTCCGGCATTTATAAGAGGTTGGAGTAGATGATCTAGGGATCCCTTCCAACCATGCAATGCTAAAGTCCCTTTATAATATCTGTCCATTCTGCCATTTTATTCTCTCCCCCCCCCCCCCCGCTTGTGACATTGATGGTTTCTCCCAGGCAAGGGGAAGAAATCAATACATTTTGGATGGAGCTGGAACCATGGAATTGTACTCAAAGCTGATTCTCCCCAGAGTAGACCCATTGGAGCGAATAGATATGACTGACTTGGGTCCATTCATTTCAATGGTCTACTCTTTAAGCAGTCTCACGATTCCACCTTGTCACTCTGCTTTCCTGCCCATCAGCCACATATATCTCTGGTGCCAATGAGGGCTAGAACCTTGCTGCTTTTAAATGAAAGCTGTTAGCCTGAACTAAAAATGACATTAAATTCTCTCTCGGTTAGTTAGTTAGTTTGTAAATAATGAGCAGCCCCACAGACTGCTTTGAAGACTGGGGCTGGAGAAATTAAGCAGCACTTGAGAACGTGTTTAAACCTGTCTAACACTAATTTTCCATAATCTGGATTCTTAAACTGTGACTCCTGCATCACAAGGGGTTGGACTAAATGACTCTTTTGGGTCCCTTCCAACTCTACAATTCTATGGCTCCAATTAATTTCAATTTTCAATTTTTAAATTTCTCCCTCCAGAGCTAACAACTTAGGTCTTCCTCCCTCCCAGAGCTAATAGCAGTTGGTGAGGGTGGTTTTTTTTTCGGGGGGGGGGTATTATTGTTATTGCTTTCTATCGATTTATTGGTTTATTTATAGTCCGTATAAGATACTCTGTTTTTTAATGCTTGATGTTTTGTTGTGTTTTTCTATATGTTGTCAGCCGCCCAGAGTGGCTGGGGAAACCCAGCCAGATGGGCAGGATATAAATTGAAAAAAAATATTATTACAGTCGTACCTTGGTTTTCGAGCAGCTTAGTTCTCAAACGTTTTGGCCGCCAAATGCCGCAAACCCAGAAGTGAGTGTTCTGGTTTGCGAACGTTCTTTGGAACCCGAACGTCTGACATGGCTTCCGAATTGGCAGAAGCCATATCCTGGTTTTCGAACGTTTTTGGAAGTTGAACGCACTCCCGGAACGGACGCCATTTGAGAACAGAGGTACGACTGTATTAAGAACGTGAGAAGAGCCTGTTCCACTAATTTGTCCAATTCTCTTTCAAAGCCATCTAGGCTGGCGAGTTAAGTTAGATCGGCGAACGTAGAACGTTAAACAGCTCCTATTTCCACCCACAAATTCCCCCAACTTCCAAGGCCAGTGGGTGCTGCATAGCAACACCCCCCACAACCCCCCCCCAAATATCCACTCTGTTCTGATATTGATTCCCGCTCCCTTTGCTATATTCTGCTGGTGCCCAGAATTGCAGAAACACACACAGCCGCCCCCCTGCTCCCGGCCCCAATGGGAGGGTGGGGTGCTTTTCATGGGCAATGCATAACCGTGAGGACGGATCCTGCCCACCGCAGGATAGGGAAGACACCCAGCTAAGTCTGGCAGGCTGTATAGAGACAGGGATGAAGTGTTTGGAGTGTTGTGTGTGTTGGGGGCAGGATCCATTTCTGCTTCTCTTCTCCCCCCCCCCACTTTGCTCCCCTAAGTGCCTCCGCCGTGCAAAAACCTCCAGTTCGTTGAGACTTACCTGCCCAGCCCCCCATAGAGGAGTGGGGAGGGCTGTTAAATGGCTCAGTGTTGGGGAGGTGGGGCGCATTTGGCGCCTCCCCAGTCGGGTCAGTATTTCTACGCCCCTCCCCCGTCCCCCAAATTCTTCCATTCCTGGCCCCCCCACCCCAAATCCTTGCTGATAAGTCACTTGGCATGGCTGAGAATAGAAAGGGGGGGGTCCTCAGAGTCTGCGGAGCTCTGGCGCCACTTGGAGGCAGGCCAGGGGATTGTGCATGGGTGCTGCTGGCTCCCCACCATCGCGCAGCGCCCCCCCTCCCCGGATCATTGGGTGTGGGGGGTTGTTCTGCTACTGTTCGGTGAGTGAGAGGCGCAGGATCCGCTCGAACTCCTCTTCTTCCTGCCGCGAGATCCGCTCGGCTTCCTCTTGCTTCCTTTGCCGGACAGCTCCATGGCCAGGCGGAGTTGCTCTGCGTAACTGGGGCAGCGGCTGGCTGGGCCCCTGCCCGTGGGCGCTGCGGGGGGCTGCTGTGGGGTTTGGGGGCGGGGCCGGGGGGCGTGGTGCTGGGGCGCTGTCCTGGCAGGAGCCAAAGGAAGAGATGGTAACTGGCTGCTTTAGTCTGCAATTCAGTTATGATATCGGCCAAGGGGAGAGTTACCGTATTTTTTTGCTCTATAAGACTCACTTTTTCCCTCCTAATAAAAGTAGGGAAATGTGGTGCGTCTTATGGAGTGAATGCTGCTTTCCCGCGCAGCGATCCCTCTTGCTGTCTGCTTCTGAGATTCAGAATATTTTTTTCTTTTCCTCTCCAAAAACTAAGGTGCGCTTGTGGTCTGGTGCGTCTTATAGAGCGAAAAATACGGTGATTCTGCTCCTGAAAATTACAGTGGACCTTACCAACTCCATGCTC